TTAGTCCCCTTCTGTCATGGAAAGACGGATTATGAGAAAACTTGTTTGAAGTCCGCCACTGTAGTATATGTTTTAAAATTGGCATAAATATCAAAAAACTAAACTTAATGAAAAGCGATCTGGCAGTGATTTATGAAGTGTCTTATAATTTTAAGAAATTAGTGGCTTCCAAATTCAACATTTATGGTATTCTTAATATAGAAACAATAATCGAAGATGGACAAAATTGAAGCTACTAATATGGGAAAACCGATTTTAGTTTGTGGCATACGCGCAAGAAAAATGTCAGTGTCCAAAAACTTTATTTTGGTTGTTGCGTGGAGACGAACATGTACTTCGGTCGTTTCCGATCTTTTTAGTCTGCACACCCTCGCTGTTTTGGTCTGCGGGATCCGCTTTGACTTTTCGCTATCTTGTTATGATGTTTGGCGTGTTGAAGAACTTAAGATGGTTTGGCCAAACAGTGAAAATAGACAGACCAAAACGCGGTGCGACGTACCTTACGTTCTCCCACCACACAAGTACAGCTACACTTGATACTACAGGCACACCGCGGGTGCGCTCGTTCATATACACACCCTAGGTGTGACTGTTTATTAACCACAAGCATAATAAGCTTCTTATATCGTGACTTGAGTTTAGGTCAAAATACTCTACCATTTTCGTTTCCCGTGTAGGATCCGTTTTTAATTGCATAGAACAATACGATTCAGAAGTAGGACTATTGATTTACATAGCAATTAGCTATGATTTGTGCTTATGTTCAATTTACCTCCTTTTTTCTTTTTCTGTTTCTTTGATGAAACATGGCACATTCCTGATTGCCTTGCTTCAATTCAGTTAAACTTGATTTGATCTGAGCAGTTTTGACACCATGTTTTGAAATTGACCCAAATTCAAGCAACATTCAACATCCAAGAAAAAGTTGATGCTGGTGGAAAAAGTCGAGGAAGAAATAAGGAAAATGTAACCAATGTATATTGGAAAAAAATTAGTCTTGCCCTACACTGTATTTGGACAGCAAAGGGCCTTGTGACGATTCATTCTAGTTTTATATGGCACTCTCCGAAATATTGGTCCTCCCAGATAGGTTTGAAACATCGTTTGGATAATTTTTTAGTTTCAATTAGTAGAGGTTGTTGTTCACAACCTTTATACAATTTATACTGTTGACTTTCCTATACATCCCTTTACCATGATTACCACCCATTCGGTTTCTAACTGGAATTCTATCCTAGGATCCACTGGTGCAAAAAGTGGAGGACAAGTCAGGAAAGATGCACCCAGTATAAATTATAAGTCAAAGACCTATCAACTAACCTTCCGTACCTTGCAAGCTGAAGTGGAATTCCCACATAAGACTTAAGAGACAACAGCATGGACAACTGCAAAGGTGTTTAGGACCAAAATCTGTTTTGACTGTCAAAATACAATTTACCCTATACATAACTTTGGCCATATGAACTGTGGAGTTTCACCAAGGTATGCAATATTCAGCGCATGCAATCCTTCCAATCAAACGTCTGAAGACAAATTGTCAAAGCTCCTAAATTAACCATAAAATAACTACGTAACAAACTTCTATCCACAATGACTTCAACATTCCGTTTGTCAGCTTTAGCTTCCAAAAGTTCCACACTAAGCTTTTGATCCATCCTAACCTTTCCCTTCCTGAGCACCTGCCACGATGGCCTCGTTTACCCTCGTATTGAGTGCCAGTGTTGGCTGGTTTCTCTTAACCTGTGCCCTCCTGGTGCAGTGCTGACCATAGGTCAGTGTTCTGACTGGGAGAAAAACTGAACATATTAATTGTGTTTTTTGATTTGGCTATAAATAATTATTTATACAAAAAAGTTGATTTTTTTAAAGGTTTTTGTTTGTTTTAGTGTGTTCAGAGAGTGTGTATTCCAATCCTATATAGTTTCAAGAATTACCATGTCAATTTTTTTCTTTGAAGGTTATTATGTAGCTCAGCTTTTTTATTCTTCGTTATCACTTACGTGGTCAGAACGATTTGTGCTTATATTCAGTTTATTTCAGTTTTCTTCTAATCATTTGTCGTTTTAGTTGATTGTTTAGAAAACTAACAAAACCTTACACTTCCCTGATCGTCTTGCATCAATTCAGTAAAGTGATTTGCACTGAGCGGTTTCGTCACCATGTTTTGTAATTACATTTTGCAGTACTTAAAGGATTAATCTGTGATTAATTAAATACTACTAATAAACTAATTAATTGATCTGTTTTTAAATCACTACATACATTAAAACTAATTTAGTTTGATAGATAGATATTTTTATTTACAACAAAAGAAAAGACTACTACAAAACAAATGTATAGGTATGTACAAGCATGGATTAAAACAGTCTGCCAGAGGTTGTTGCTAATATCATAAATGCCAATACGGAAATTTAAAAAATTGTAAAGAAAGTAAAAAATAAAGAAAGAATAAACAAAAAATAAGTAAATAAAAAAATTGATTAAAACAGCTAGTAGGTAAAAAAAATTCAAAGTTCACAATAGTAAGTAAATAAAATAAAACAAGAATACAAAGGTGTGGCTGACTTTGGAGAGCAATCCAGAGATGTAGTGTGTTGTATCAGTATTGCTAATTAAATTGATGGACCAATTCAAATCTGTACCTCCATGCATGGCGTGTGTATTCAATTAATTGATTCTGATCAAATATACCAACCAGATATTTAATTAGGAGATCCTTACTTAGAACAAAATTACCCAAATAAAATTGATGTGACCCCTCCTCGTATTCATTCCTCTGGAAAGTGAAAAACGGTTTCCAAGGAGCGGGAATTACAAAGGGAGCAAAGCCCAGATCCCATCCCCGCCAACCATGGAGCCAAGTTCAAATGTAATACCTCATATCTCTGTTTAATCAGTCAACGAAGCTCTCTTAAATTGTAATCTTTAAAATTAGCTTTGTTAAAATGAAATAATGCCAAAGATAATTAATTTCTTTGCACAGGGATAGGTGGATAGAAGATTGTATGCAAAAAAGGCATTTGTTTCTATTATATTGACATACTAAAATCAAACAAGATCAAGAGAGGTTTCCAAGTACAATAAATAGTTAGAAATAGCTGAAGGCAGAGAAAATAGTTTCTGGATGAAAAAACACTGGACTTTTTCAATTGATTCAAACTGCTGCCCTCCCCAAACGACACCATAGCAAAGGATAGAATGGCAAACAGCATCAAATAAATTGAATTTCACTTTGATTGAAATGACATCATTTGACATAAGTGACAACCAAGTTCAGTGTATAGCCATTTTTGCAGTGGATGCTTTCAGAGCAAGATGTTTAATCCGACAAGTTTTGGTGTGAAAGTCGCTCCCAAATATTTATATTCATTTACCACCTGGATCCTCTTGCTCTCAAATGACCAACTCTTTAAAGAACTCAAATTTTCCTCCTCTCCTGAACACCATAATCTTTGATTTATTCAGATTGACGGTCAAATTCCATTGTTGGTTACTAAAACTAATTTGTTTGCAATTCAAAACATTTAGCTCCTCTTGTATGATTTTTCTGGATTTGTAGGGCAACTTGTGTACCCTAACGACTTGAACTTTTCTCCTGAGTTCTATTATTGGTTTTCTTGGAAGAAGCAAACCAGTTGCATTTTTGAAAATTCCAAGAGGTCTGCATATAAACAACTATACAAACAATACAATCTAATTGAGGGTCCATAGGGTACGTGTGATATTCTGATACTCTTGTACTGCACACATTCATGTATATAAAATACATTCTGATTGAAATAAAACTGTTGAAACATCTATCACCAAATTTAGTATATATACAATAATAGGATTAACTGCAATAAGTAAAAGTATGTACAGCTTAACCCCGGTTTCTGGAGGTCCCCTCCAGAAACCAGAGTAGGGTACCCAAAGAATTGCTGCTGTGCTTGACCATAATTCTTATATTGGCCGGCATTCCTTTATGCTCCTACTGTGTATACACATTGAGAAACCTTTCTCTGCATGCGGAACACATATGCGAGCTTTTGCCCAAAAGTAAGTGTCCATATGTCAACTGTGTATGGCTAATTATGAGTCTGGTTAGTTTAGGGTAACAGCTTAATACATTTCAGGATGAAAACCATTGAATATTATATTATCTTTATTTACACAGTCACAAACACAAATACACAATACCAATCTCGTAAAGCCTACACTATTCTGTCTTTTTGACTTCCCCCTCTGCTTTTATCCCTCAAGTCCTTTCAACACTGTCGAGTGGGGGCCTTCTCCAGATTATCCTCGTACCCTTGAGTTAGGGTACCTTACATTAGGAAGATCCTTCTCTGCGGTGTAGATTATTTGGGGCTTACCTGCCAATCGTGCTTATGATGCACAAGCGCTTTTCAGACGACCCAGTCCATTGACGCTGCCACCTTTTCTTTACCATTTTCTTTAGTGCACGTTTAGCGTCAGCGAGTCAGATAATGATAGAAATGTCTGGTGTGTGAGCTGTCCTGGCTTTCGCCGCATTGTCTGAACGTTTGTTACCTTCCAACCTAACATGTCCAGATACCCAAACAACTCTACCTATTTTCTATTTTTATCTGTCCCTAAAGGCACACAACGTACTCAATGAATCAGAGCACACAAGATAGGATGAATCTCCCCGATACAGCTCGGCGGTGTAGCACTCCCCATATATTCTGTTATTTCTATCTACACATATGTATCTCAATATTAGCTTCATTTTTATTTTCATTTAAATCAGTCTATCATGTGCACTATTTTTGTTATATCTTCATTATATTAATTTGATATATTCTAAATGAGAAAATATTCATTTGATCTTTCTGTTACTTTTTCACAACATTCCATGTTTGTGAACTCAAGTTAGAATATAAAAACAATTAGTGGTTTATCCTGGTACTTTCATTGTGGCCGTAAAGCACTTGTCCTTATTTTAAATTGATATTAAGGTATTTTGTTTGTTTTAATTTTCCTATTTATTGTTCCAGGGGGACATGTTTTACCCATCCCAGGGAGGAATCGAAACTATTTCGGGGGCAATACACAAAAAAAGGAAACTAGATTTAAGTGATTCTGGGTACGCAGCCGTTACTGAACAGCATTTCGTCCAACCAACACACAACTCAAGGTTGCGTAATGTGCACAACATCCATAAAAGTCCAAGTCAGACTCAATCACAACTATCATCACAAAATTTTATCCATGCGTCAACTATCAAACTATTAGATACATATCAGCGGTGTGGCCAGAAGGTGAGATTTTTTACATGATAATTACACAATATTTATTATTACGCCATATGATGTTTTCTATATCAGCTCTGATTATTCTATGTACAGCGCAAATCTTGTGAAGGTAATGGTGATCGAGTCGAAGGTAATCCAAGTGGTGACGCAACGGCGGGAGGCAAGGGAGGTGGCGGGGGTGCCGGTGGGGCATCCCACTCAGCCACCCCAGATGGAGACTACCAATTGGTACAACATGAAGTGTTGTACTCAATGACCACACAGTATGAAGTTCTCGAATTTTTGGGACGTGGAACATTTGGCCAGGTAAGAATTTTTTTGTTATAACAAAATGACGTACAATGTTTTGTTATAAGCTAACTTAAGCTGTTAATTCTCGTTTTAGGTGGTGAAGTGTTGGAAGAAAGGGACAAATGAAATTGTTGCTATCAAAATTCTTAAAAATCACCCTTCCTATGCTAGGCAAGGACAAATTGAGGTAAGTTACTTCAATTGTAAATTATTTATAATTATAAAGTCAGTATGGTTTTAGTTGAAAAATTTGTATGTGCAACTTATGCCTAAATAATGTTTTTTAGGTTAGCATTCTCTCCAGATTAAGCCAAGAAAATGCCGATGAATTCAATTTTGTCCGAGCTTACGAATGTTTCCAACATAAGAACCACACATGTCTGGTGTTTGAAATGTTGGAACAAAACCTGTATGATTTCTTGAAACAGAACAAATTTAGCCCCCTACCACTAAAGTACATACGTCCTATTTTGCAACAGGTTTTAACAGCCCTTCTCAAACTCAAAGTAAGTGAATTAATTCGTCACTACTTATAACAATTAAAATCAAATAGTGTGTAAAAAATTACATTGTATCATAAACTTTTCATGTGGGTAAATGACTATAAGGTAAGGTAAATTAATTTTTTAAATTGTACTTTCCAGCAATTAGGTCTAATTCATGCTGATTTGAAACCAGAAAATATCATGCTTGTTGATCCAGTTAGACAACCTTATAGAGTAAAAGTTATTGATTTTGGTAGTGCATCCCATGTCTCAAAAGCTGTCTGCAACACATATTTGCAAAGTAGATATTACCGGGCCCCTGAAATTATACTCGGTAATTAAACAAAAATTAAATTAAACTGTTGTTTGTTTCATTTATTAACTCAAGCTTGTAATCTTTTACAGGTCTCCCTTTCTGCGAAGCAATTGACATGTGGTCTTTAGGGTGTGTTGTTGCTGAGTTATTTTTAGGTTGGCCTTTATATCCAGGGTCATCAGAATATGATCAAATAAGGTATATTTCGCAGACACAAGGTTTACCTACTGAGCACATGTTAAACAATGCTTCAAAGACCACCAAATTTTTTTATCGTGATATGGAGAGTACTTATCCTTTTTGGAGGCTTAAGGTTAGTTGCTTAGTTAATTATTAACTGGATATATTGTATAATCTTTTGATTTTAGACACCCGAAGAGCATGAAGCTGAAAATGGCATCAAGAGTAAAGAAGCAAGGAAGTACATATTCAATTGCTTAGATGATATAGGACAGGTTAATGTTCCAACTGATCTAGAAGGTGGGGAACTCCTGGCTGAAAAAGCGGATCGTAGGGAATTCATTGATTTACTGAAACGTATGCTGACTATGGACCAAGTGGTAAGATATTTTAAATTATTAAAATACTTTTAACAAAAAAGTTAATTTGTTTTAATTATGTCAACAGGAGAGACGCATAACACCAGGCGAAGCGTTGAACCATCCATTTGTAACTTTGGCACATCTTGTTGATTATGCACACTGCAATAATGTAAAGGCAAGTGTTCAAATGATGGAAGTGTGTCGTCGTAATGTTTATGGAAGTACTGCTGGAAACCAACACCAGCATGCCACACAGTCTGCTCCATTGGTTGCAACTTTGACCTTTAACAATAATCTAACTAACCAGGTTCAGCGGTTAGTGAGAGAACGAGCGAACCATCATCAACCAACATTTGACAATCTGGTATTTAATTAAACCATTCTTAAAATTTATTCAGTTCTATGTAAAAAACAAAAAAATTGACAGTATTATGACACAAAAATAATCTTTCTAGTATCCAGTTTATCAAAGACAAAGTCAATTTTCTGGAGTTGGACGAGGAGATATTACCCAACCACAACTTGTTTCTTCAATACTTTGTCCACCCACTTATCAAAGAATTGCCTCTCCTGGAAAACATGTTACTGTTGTTGCTCAACAGCCCCCTCCTCAGTTGCAACTACAGCCACCTATCCTATCCCAACAAGTAAACAATATGTTGCATTTGTTTATAATTAAAACTGATATAATTTCTGTATAAGTGCGTTTACCAATCAACTAACTCATTTTAATTAAATTAGGTTGGAGGTCAACAGCAGTATGTGCCTGTGTCTATGGTTGAACCTTCTTGGGCAGGAAACCGTCAGATGGCCATGGTTCCTTCTTGGCAAGGAATAGCAACTCAACATAGCATACAACAACCTATGCTACCTGGCCAAGAATGGGGAAGACCTCTCCTCGTACAATCTGCGGCACTCATTCAGGTATAATATTACAAACTCTAACATGTATACTATGAGGGCACAATACAATGTCCACTGCTTAGATCTTCAACCACTTGTTTTCTTTAGTACAAGTGTACATTTTATGTTCCCACACTGGGAACAACAGAACTGAGCGTTGATGTTTAATAACAATGAGCTTAATTTCTATTAACCAAATCAGTACTGGTTGTTAAACAAGGAATGAATAATCACTAATTGATAGAAAATGCTGAAATATTCAATTGCAGTAAATATTCTGTTTGTTATCTTTATTCATTTATTTATTTATTTATTTTTTAACACAACTTACTACATTTCAATATACTAATTTTATCATAAATTTATATTAGTGGTATTGTTATTGTCTCTTTTATCATCATATCATGGATAATCCTATTAATTAACATAATAATAAGCTTTTTTTTTAAATAAAAACTTGCCAAACACTTTACACAACTAAAAAGAGGTTGCTCGTCAAATTTGTCCTTTTTGTTTTAATATTATTGTCCGCTGTACAATTGGTAATTTTTTTTGTTTTGTTTTTTAAATACCAAATTTCTTTAGGACCAAGGAAGACCCGTATTCACAGATGTATACGATCGAGTAGTGGAGAGTCCAAATATGGAATGGGGGAAAAGAAATGTTACGAAGCACTTAGCACCTCCTGTACCTCACCATCACATATCACTTCCAAGGCATGACAAGAAAGATCCACTTCACTTGAGTCCAGTAAAGAAAAGAGTGAAAGAAGGGACCCCACCAAGTAATAACTCAATAAAATTATTGTCTTTTTTTTTTTAGAAAGTATTAAGTAGCTTAATCTATTTTGTGGTGAACCATTTGGGTAGTATTGAATTTTAGTAATTAGGATTTGGTAGAAGGAATTTGGAATTGCCCTACAATACAAAATACTCTGCTACATTATATCTTTAATAAAAAAGAAAATTTCTGATAGAGAGTAATAAATCGGGCACATTTAACACTACCAAAAAAGTACATATTTTTACATTTAACAATCTTATTTCCAGTTTCAATTGTTAATAACCAATTATATAATCCTTAAGATTCCATTTCAAATTACATGTATTAATACTGTTTTATTAGTAATAACTGCTTTAATGGATTTTACTGCTGTGTTCACATAATAATGTAATATTTTTCCTTCTGATTAGGTTGTCCTTAGTTTTGCTGTTACTAATTTGTTTACCAGAGTACCAGAAAAGTTTGTGCAGGATTAATCATTTTTAAGATTAATTTGCTTTTTTAATTTTTGGGTTTTTGTTTTAAAAAAATTACTTTTTTTAGTAAATTCATTACTCATTTAAACATTTATTCGGACATTTTGGGCATTTACACCCATCAGTATCTTTTTTCTTTTTTAAATGATTAAATTTTTCATTGAATATAGTTTTTTTTAAAGATTTACAACCATTTTGCATTGATAAGTTTTTATTATTTTTATTATTATAAACAAAAACCAAAAAATTGTCACAAAATTAGTTTAGAAATATTTTATTCAGGGATATAGTCTCCATCAGGATCTGTAACTTCCTCCCAATGTGTTACTAGCCCAGTTATGCCCTTCTTATAAAAGTTTGCGGCCCGGAACTAAAAAAATAAATTCAGTTATTTTCCAGCTGTCTGCAATATCGAATCCTAATTGCATATATGATTGTCCAATGCTAACAAAAGGTGAAAGTCAGATGGAGCTAGGTCTGTCAAGTAAGGAAGGTGTGGTTGAACTTCACTAGTTCCATTATCACCTCTGGCTCTATGGGTCTCCTGTTTTCCTGTTGAAAAATTACAACTCTCCTGTTCACGAGAGCAGTTTCTTTCTGGGCCGGGCAAGAGATAATTGTTGCAGTTGGCTTGAGTAGATTTCTGCAGTGATGGTCTGGCCATGTGGCAGAACTCGTACTGTACAATGCCTGCCATACTCCACCAAACATAAGGCATCACCTTTTCTTGATGAATATTTGGCTTTTATATCAATGGGAATTTGCCGACAGTAGATTGTATGACCACCTGTTGTTACTGTACAGGATCCATTTTTCATTGCATGTGACAATCCAGTCAAAAATGTCTACTTTGGGACATGAAAGCAATGAAAAGCATGTTCATGATGATTTGATTTGGTCAGCAACCACGGCTTTCCAGATGGACATAAACTAGAGCAGATGGTTTCACCGGTTGCAATTGAACACTCTGGCAAGCTCTTGACACGTTTGACTCAAATGAAGTTCGATTGCTTCCTTTCGTCCTTCAAGAATGTATACCAGACTGTGGATCAATTTCAATGCCCTCGTTCCCATAGGTAAACTTTTTGAACCATGTTTGGGCAGTGTGCTCACTTATAGTTTCATACTCGAATGCAGTGCAAATTTTACGAACTGTGTCTAGTACCGAGCTTAAATTCATTCAAAAAGCGCACACAAGTCATGAGAAAGAAAATACACCTAGTCCTTCTATGTAAATAATAATGTTGATTAACGGTATTAAAACAATAAAAAATGAAAAACCACATAAACTTTTCTGGTTTTACAATGTAAACATCAGTGTTTTATTAATTAATATTTTAGATCATTTTATATATAAAAAATGCACTAATTTTATTGTCACCACTTTGCAGCAATGTTGATTTTTTTAACCTAAAAATATTAATGTTCTACATAATAATCCAAATAGCTTATTTATCATAGATAAACTTCTAAAATTAAAAGTTTTTTGTTATTTATTTTTTCTTTATTTTTCAGTTGAATGTAATGATTTGCATTTGAGGAATCGTCACAGTCCTAGCCAATGGTCAAACCAGGTGATCAGTTCTCAACATACTTCTCTACCTCATGTACGCTTTAAACAAGTACAACAATTTTATCGATATGATTTTATTGAAGATGACAAAACAAAATCAACAACCATTTTATTTTTCAGACTTCTAATCGCCAACAGACAATAACAATACACGATACCCCATCCCCAGCTGTTTCTGTGATTACAATCTCTGATAGTGAAGATGAGTCATCAGCAAAATGGTAATTTTATTTTATTGTTATGAAATTTGTTCCATCACGCGACCAAGCCATAAGCAAACTATCGGGTGCATGTGCATTTGAGTCTGGGCTTTCCAACATCCTACAAATCCAAACTTGTATACAAACCATTGCTACAACATGTTTGTAATGGTTTTTTACTTTCAAAACAGACCGAGGATTTTGCTATAGTCTGGCAATCAGAGACTACACAGATGTTTCCCCATGCTTTTGCTCTTGTCAAATCGGCAATTGTTTACTTATAACTAGAGACCAGTTTTGTATGCACTAAAAAAACCTTCAAATATTTAATTAATTTGCTCCCAAAATATTAAAATGTGGAGGATGATTGTCAGATACATAACCCAATTAATAATTGAATAATTTATTTTTAATATACATTTTTAGGTGTTGTATATATTCTTGAAAAGGAATAGAACAGAAAAATCACAGTTATCAGTCACATAAAAATCATATAATTAGAAAGAAGGGTCATCATTGGCCCCTAAGGATTCAAACCTCACATACTTAATTTTTCGCTAATTCTTAATTTTTCCATAAAATATACAAAATATAAAATACAAGAGAACTGACACTGACTATTTTTGTGTTTCAAATGAGGCCCCTATTTCCTTCCATAATTCGACTACTTCAAGAAAATTAATTCTTCAAGAAAGGCAAAAAAATATGACCAGAAGTTTTGGAAAGTGGGCCTTATATAAGATGACAATTATTCAAGAGAATTCTATTGTGTCAGTTTGTTTGCATTAATAAAATAACGTAATAAGGTAAAATAATAATCAAAATATGAAATTTATGCAATATTCTTCAAATAAGACTGAAATATGAAACGGTAGACGAGTGAAATACATATTTTATCAGCGTGGATCATCAGGAATTAAGGTGGCCTCTTTGTCTCAAAGGTGGCAACATTTTTAGATTTGAGCCTGTTTGAACCGTTTGTTAGGGAGAGCTAAAAAGGTAGAAAATTTCAAAAGGTATAAGACAGGATCGGATTGACTCTCAATATCACATCACCGGATGTGTTTGTGGCAATTAAGTTCAAGACGTGGATCATCTCTTGTTCCGCTGCCCTGTGCTGGATGTAAAAAGAGCAAATCTGATACAACACCACTTGCTGATTGGATCGGACTGGCCATGTACTCAAATAACAGTATATAAACAATATAACAATGTTTAAACAATTTGCTAAAAAGTGTAACTTGCGGAAAATGAACAATATAAAATTAATTCATTTTAAATTTTATTGTATAAGTAGGAGGTATAATATGATGTAAAAATTAACAATGTATCTATTTATTATAGATATTATAACATGTAATACAATAGTGATCATGTAGAAAAAATTAATGAATAAATAAATGCAAGATAAAATAAATCGAAACAGATGGTTTAGCATAACATAATTGGATGCAAAACAGATACGTGTGGCATGGCTCATGGAATACTACATAACCATTCCATGAAATACACTTTCAAAATCGACCCACCGACTCTGTTTCAAAACTGCTAGACAATTATGCACCGCAACTGTCTGTCAGGTCCCACTCTCAAGAAAGAAATGACCCGCCAACTCTGTTTTCCTCTTGGTAAATGCTTCAGTCAAAACCACTACATGTGTCATAGGCCTTAGCACTGCTAGAATATTGACAGCATTACGTTTTATGTCAACTGCAACCCTGGCCCCTCTAACCATTTCCTTATTACTCACTGTACAAGTTGGGTTTAAAATAATCCTGTAAATATCTGGACAGAGGTAGTAAGGATGAGTGCATTTAGGAAGAAGCCAAACAATCAATTCTCGGAGATGAAATGAAGTGTGGAAACATGAACCTTGCAAACATGAGGGAAGGTACCATTTGACTGTAGGAGTCTGAGATTGGTAAAAAGCTTTCTAACAGAGTTATGAATCTGTATCAGTCTATGTTTGAGCATATGCAGTCAATAAATCAAGGAATAGTTGGCAGCTAGTTTGTGATTGCATGTTGGAACAAACCTATTATTAAATCCTAACAATAGAAACCTACTTTTACCTAAATTGATTTTATTTTATTTATTTTTTTTTTTTTTTAATGTAGTCCACAACAAAACAATGTAACCAGTACATCTTCATCTACCACAAAGCAGTCAACCACTCAACACCTTAGTACTGGAGCTAGTTCTCGAGGACGTAGCAATGTTATTTCATGCTACACAGTAGGTGACAGTGATAATGAGGAAGTTAGCCCCAATGCTAAACAGCAGGTAAGCTTTCCTTTTCAAAATAATCAAATATACTGCCACTTTTATTATGTATCTACTAATATTAACAATATTAACTGCCTAAGGTACAACAACATCCTGCAACAACTAGATGCTCACCTGTAAAAATTACCTCAACTACATATGGTTTGAGCCCTAAAACTAGTGGTGGACAGTATCACCAATCTAGTCCATCAAAACCTGGTGACTTCCTACATTACTTTAGGGAAATTAAGCACGAACCACATTATAAATACATCTCAAGGGGAGAGGAAACAAATCAATGTTGCCCAATTGTTGAGAATGGGTTAGTTTTGATTGTAGTTTATCTAAACAAAATGTGTAACATTTTCAATTTTTACAGATATTCTACAAGCAGCATATCACAATCACAAAAGAAAAGGTTACTTGCAAAAGCCCAGTCTGAATGTATGCTCAGCGGCGTGGTCACCAAGCAAGAACCGCCCAGTGAACTTTATCACCAACCTGTTTGCCATGGACACCCGACAACTCTATGTAAAGAACCTTACCACTATGTTGCCCAGGAGCAACATATAGTACTGCCCTATACAAGGTATATATTCTCGAGGTCACAGCATCATTTTATTAAACTTTAAATTGCCACAATTTGTAGTTTACCAAGCGACAAGCAAGAGTGCATAATAATTATATTTAGTATTCTCCAGTTGACATGACCATTGTTGTTTTAAACCATTACAAATCAAACAATCAGTAGGAGGGGGTATCAGCCTCACCCAATTAAGGAATAAGCCGTGTGTAGCTGAAACATAGCCACCTACTTTTAGGAAATTAAAGGAAGGTTGCTCAGTGTGTCCAACTTCACTGAAAGGTGTCATTCCTTGGCTCCATATAGAGAGAGCATGTAGGGAAGGCATCCGATACATAAATTGTAGTGAACATGGAAGCAAGCCTTCCCTCTTCCAAATTTTGAAGTAAATGTCTATTTTACTGTATATATTGGGTGTGTATGTAAGTTTTTTTAGGTTTTCTGAATAAAAGGTCAAGCATTAAAGTATGAATGTGTGATGTTGTGACCGTTAGCCAATGATTATTTGGAGATCATGAGATGTGGTCTGATGTGACATAGGTTTTAGAGAAAAATATTTTTTTTATCATGCCGTTTCGATCTTTATTGAGATCATCTTCAGGGCCTGGGATTTATAAACATTGTTTAAATTTTACAATTTAAAAAATGAAAGTCAGTCGGTTATTAGTATCTCAAATAAATGTTAAAACCTAATAACCACCAGCTTCGAGGGTCATTTGCTTTGGCAGCTTCAAAGTCTTCCGACTCTGCCGTACATTGCTCCTTTTTTTCCTTGCTTCTTTGGTTGAGGCCATAAATTGGGCTTAACTTCTTTTCAGCCGAAGCAAATCAAGTCCCATCATAGCCTAGATAAGGAGTGTCCAGGATCTTCAACTTTTCGTTGAAGCACTTGCTACTGGAGTTCCTTCCTGCACTGGATGATGCTGGTGGGACCGATCTTGTTTTTTCTTCATGTTGACTACTGGATTCATTTTCTTGAATATGCATTTACATCAATCCATTGTTGAAAACTAACATGGGATTACACTAATAAACACATTTCTACTTTAGAAACAAAAAGTAGATAAAAACAAACTGTCAATGTTGTCACAAACTGCACTGACACAGTGACAAAACGATAAAAGCAATGACGTTTAGTGAAACAAAACAAAAGAGATGTTACTCAAAGACATTACAAGGTTATAACCATAGATATTTAATATACTGAGTGAATAAAGGAAGTTTTTTTACAACTTTTTTGATCACTGATCACGTTGCTACCTAGGTTTTTTTTTTCTTTTTTTTTAATAGAAAACTAAATTGATTTTTATTTATTTGTATTTTTATTTTTTTAATTCAGCATATCAAGGTTTTTTTTAATTAATAGAAGTAATTAAGTAGCACATTTTTTACAAATTGTGGGAAAAACTTTTTAATAGTAAATTTTGGCAATTTGTAAAAAATCAAAGAGTAGGTTAGAAAAAATTTCCTACCAGCAAAATAAGAGTTCTTTAGGTGGTAAACATATGTCTAAAAAATAAGTGGATTGGTGGATTGGACTTGCCAAGATAAAAACCCTGAAAAACGCCGTTTTTGTTAAGGGGCAGACTGTTCCCCTTAAGTGGTTGTCTAGGGAGCAGAACAAATAAAATAATAATAATAAAAAGAAAACAAAAAGAAAAGAGCAAAGTCTGAAGAGTTGGGAGGGTGGGTCATCAACTTGGTGATTTTAATCTTGAGTGAGAGCAGCCGTGTGAGACCTTGTGTTGCCATTGTGAAACAAGCGTTCCAAATATTCACCAGGGCTGGACATTTTTCCTTCAACGCTACCCTAAGACATTCTAGCTGGGCACAGCATGCTTCTTCTGTAAGGGTTTGTGGAGGTTACAGGTCCCAATAAATTATTCCTCGAATATCTCACCCAGACAATATGACTGGATGCATTTCATTTTTGCAAATGGTCCTATGGTGTTTTACTTTTGTACACACGACCCACTTCTCATCCCCAGTAACGAAATAGAAAATAACCCTTTCCGATTTATTCCTATTCGGGTGTGAAACTCCAGTCATGTGGTCACTTTTACATTATCACCGTAAATTTCACAAAAATTTAGGCATTAATTCGCTGCCCTATGCCAGAGATTGAACTCATATAACAAGCAATGCCTTATATGAATTGTAGTGGCCACTTGTAGCTACCACATGTTGGTGGTATGGCATGTTCTCGCCCTCCACTCTGCAGCCAATCAGAGTAGGGCTCTTCCCTATATAAGCAGGGGCACTGCCTCGCTGGAAGCAGACTCGTCAGCTCGACGAGATCTCAACCATCACAAATGTAACACTAGACTCGTCAACCTGATGATCCGTCGCTGAAGGAACACCTTGGACGACAGCAAGTACTCGCAGCATTAGCCTGTCTTGCCTTCTAAACAGCCGACTTGGCCGTACACGCCAACTGCTGCCCCTCGGCTAATTGCTGTACTCCAATACCTTCGGCCTTTGTGGAGTCAACCGACTCACGGCCCCCGGACCTCAGCCAATGGTTTACTCATGGTCACAGACCACCACCAACGGCGCCACGCACGCGGTCTCGGCCTCGATTCATCGTCACGCCTTCTCTACACAACACCGGCCCTTTTCAGGGCCACAAAACTCCGTCACTAAATGAATTTTATCCACTTCCATGACGTTCGTATTGCAGTTTATTCTGACTTCAGATCAACCTCCTTTTTTGTAACTCTTTTAATACAGCTTTTCCCACCCAAGAGTTGGGGGCTAGCAGATAATAAAGAAAAGTCGAATTTTGAACAAATTAAAACACTGAAGCACACTCCTAATAGTATTGATATACCAGAGCGTTATATGGTTCTCTTTTTGTTTAACTCCTTAGAACAAAGATTCTTTGTGTTAGGCGTTTTTGCTTCACTTCACTCTCGCTTTCTCGAGTCTCAACTCCTTTGATCTGAATTTGCACGACCCTCGTCTGGAGTCTTTTTCTTCTGTTGGATATTTATGGCCTATTAGCCCTCGCTTGACTGTCTTGAGACCCCCGCCCCCATCACTTAAAAATTAAAATCTAATAGAATACAAATTTTTCTAATAGTACTGACTTGATTCATTTTAAGCAATGAAAAGAGGGTTACATACACAATGGGACATAAACGAGCTGACACAGGTCGAGATTATCATAGAGGGCAACCACCTGCAGCGCATACATCACGGGACCAACATGTGATTGCAAAACCATGGCCACCTCAAGCAATACCACTTCATCAACCATATAGGTAAATTACAGTTATCTTGTAAATAATATTTGTAACAAAAACAACCTTATGTCAAACATTAATCACATTTAAACAATATATGTTACTCGTTTGCCTAACCTGACTTTCCCCATATATGGGATTCATTTCAGAACGACATGTCCAAAAATCTAAAGAAATGTGTGGTGTTTAGTGACCGTTAATCGATAATTATTCAGAAAGTTTTTTTTTTGCATACTAAAAATCAAAAATGGTTTGGTTGTAAAAACAAGCCTTTTAAAAAGAAAATACGTACTATCTAATTTTTAAAAAACAATTATTGAATTGAATATTGGAAAAAAAAATATATATATATTTAATATATGTACATTTTAAAAAAAATAAAAGGTTTAAGAATGAAATCAATGAAGAATTGTGTGGTGATTAGTGACCATTAATCGATATTTATTTAGAAACCGGCAGTCTGGTGTGATGTAGGTTTCAGAAAAACATTTTCTTTATCGTGCCAACGTTTCGATCTTTATTGAGATCATCTTCAGGGCCTGGGATTTACAAACATTGTTTACATTTAACAAATACATCAACTCATCTCAAAGAAGCCGACGCCTTATACAAAAATGTCTTTTTTCTATACCGACTTCCTTTCCCACCCCTTCAAAATCCAACGTATATAAACATAAAACAGCAAAATCTCACTGGCACTCTCAACACGACATGCAAGAATGGCACAATTACACAGAAGACAAACACTTTGAGTGAGTAGAAATACTTTGATTGAATATATAAAAAAAATATATATATATTTTGCATTGTATAAATTCACTATTCCTCATCAAAAATGTAATTGTTATATGTAAACAATGTTTGTAAATCCCAGGCCCTGAAGATGATCTCAATAAAGATCGAAACGTTGGCACAATAAAGAAAATTTTTTCTGAAACCTACATCACACCAGACTGCATCTCACGATTTCTAAATAAATATCAATGAAGAAGGAAGAAAAAAGATAAACTGGACATGATCTTTAGGCGTAGCAGAATGGAAGGTCAAATGCTACTTTTTGTGCAAATGGGTTTAATCAGTACAAAGTAAATAAAGGAAGTAAACATGCATTATTTAATGTTTATTTTGACTACAACAGCTCCTAATTACTTATAACTAATGTCGAAAGACAATGGATTTAATTTTAAGCTAAATAAATTGAGTGGTGTGTTATTTTTGTTCATCAGTGTATATGAAATAATGACAGAGCATTAATACATCATCACCCTTCTTAGAGCTAGCAATAATAAACATTTTTTAGTTATGAAAACTAATGGCAAATGGAAGGCGGCACTATTGGAAATAATTTAGGGATTGTTTATTCAATTTTAGAACCATTTCAAATATGTATCGATGAAGATAACATTAACAATTTGTTTCAATTTTAGGCAAAGTGGGTCGCAGGTATCACCTCAAGGGGCTAGACTTTCTCCCCTAACCGGACAACCGATCTACCATCAGAGCGATATTTACAGACGTCCTGCTGTTTACGTAACAACAACTCAACCTGCTTACTTGCCTCCAACCCACCAAGTTCCACCATTTACGACTGGGTAAGTGAAATTAAAGTCTAAAATTAGTTTTTTTTGCTATATTAAATGAAAGGTTGCTCTTTGGCCGAATATCTCAGATAAAGCCATTTAAAAATACTAAGGTGCAACAAAATTATGCCAACACCAATATATTTTCTTCCTTTCTTTTAAGTTCTATGTATTTTATTATGTCTGTCTAAAATTATATAAAATAAGTTTTTTAAACAATTCTAATTAAAAGTTGTAAAATAGATTCAAGCAATGATATAAAAACGTCTCACATGGTGGGCATGTAACTTGTATATTTTAAATTCATATTTTGTTTATTTCACAAGTGGGGAGAACCAATAGTCTACTTCGACAGATAAGTATAGTACAAATAAATAACATATTTTATTTGAGCATACATATTTTGAATATGATATCAGTCAAAACATATTAAGACTAGTTCTTTTTGTAGTAGTGCATTGTTTCTCTATTTATAATTATTGTAATATTATTAGTATATTCAACTGCTAAATAATAATATCTAATATAAGGATGATAGAGAGAGAAAAAAAGACCTTATCAAAAATAAAACTCACTGTACTTGATGATAAGTACAGGGGTAAAAATTTGATTTGTAGCAGCCTGTGATGTGTCAGGTTGAAACAGTGGATGGTTTCGATAGTTGTAAATTTCCTTTCCAATATTGCCAGAATTTCGTACATCAGTGTTATTTTCATTGACAGAATGTCAAACCTTAAAATACTGAAGCATTTATGTTAAAAAAATGATTCATATATAGTAATGGATTAAAGCTGGTTATGGATGGACCGTGAGCTTTTCATTAGTCAGATTTCAGGGGATCAGTCAGGAAGACTTTTTATAAACTTTTTTTTGTTCAATATAATAATTTTCTAGTGTTTTTTCTCTATTGTGTCATGTAGGTTTAGATTATTTTTACATTTGTTCTTAACCATTTCCATTCGTCTACACCTGCTTATACTCCTGACTGATGTCCATCAAACTAATAAATGATTGAAATTATAGCAATAGCAATAGCATTGGAAGAGAGATAAAGAAACAAATTCAGTATAGCATAAAAATTGAAAACATTGTCATTTTTTCACTCAGCCCCTATGTGTCTTTATATATACTTATGTGCCCCCTCGCTATTATCAAACCGCTTCAATTTTTATCGTTGAATATTTAAGAACATATATTTATCATTTGTTAGGAAAAAACAAATATTTGAGGTTTATTTTTTCCCAGGAGAGGTGTCCCTCCACCAGCTCATCATTCATCAGCCAGACCGCTTTTAACATCCGGAGGGCATCCTTCACACCCTCTTCCAGCACATATGCAACCTACGGCAGTCTTCCCAGCTCATGCACAAGTTGCATCGTACGGTTATATAAGTCCAGCAAAACCACAGTATCCTGCACCACCTGCATTGTGGTTCACTGAATAATTTGCATTAATTTTATTTGTGTATAGCAAGATGTGTATTATATTCATTTATTGTAGCAAAATGCTTAGCTAAATTGCAATTATATTTATTTGTAATTGAAACAAATATACTATTTTTTAATATTTAAAAAAAATTTAAAAAACATTAAGGCTGACATTTAAGTTGGGAAATTATTGGATTTGTAAAACTTAAACTTGCGTCTGACAGTCAGCTATTTACTATGGGTGTAACTCCCCAAATTTATAAGTTAAATTGATATATAAGAATTTATTATATATATATGATAAATTATATAAACAAATATTTTTTTATGGTAGCATTGGCACAATGTTTTAATACCATTAGTTTTTTTCCTATAGTGTTTCTAATTTTATATATTAATTATGTGTTGTTCAAATATTAATTATATTGTATTAATTTTTGTATTTTCTAGATCAGTTTGAATGTTTAAAACTTCTTTCTTTCATTGAGATAACCCAAAGGGGTATCAAAAAAATAAATAACTTATGCACTGCTGTACTACTGCATGACAAGAATTATGAAATTAATAACATAATTTATCAGGTTTTTTTTCAGTGTTGTTAAAAGATTCTAACATCAAACGTTTTAATCATATAACATAGTTTTTGTACAAACAAGTCTAACCTTCTTGTGATACATTTTTTTTCACAAGAAAAGTAAAAAAAAAAAAAACAATAATACGTTGAAGATGAATTCTAGATATTTTTTGGGGTTTTTTCTCATCTCATGACTTAATAGTTGTGTTAATTAACTCTTATATCATTTGTAAATTGAGGATTTTCAGTGCAAATTGGTCTACTTTAAATTTAAGCCAGCTTAGACCATATAATCTGGAGCTACCTTTTGTGATATAGAAATTGCTTTACGTGTTTTTTTTTTGTTTTTTTAGTAAGTTCAATCAGTCAAGTGTTAATACTTCAATTTTATGAAATTTATTGCATGTTTTAGTTTTGTGTAATATGAAGTAGTTTGTTTTAGTGTTAACACTTCACTGTCAAATTGGTTTTGTGAACTGTTAATTAAATAAGACAACTTGATAAATGGTATAAGTTAATTAACTTATTTCATGACAATTCCATGAGTGTCCTAGATTCATTGCTTTTTGTAGTTTGCAAACAGCATTCAATAAAACAGTAAATATATCAGTATATAATAATAAATAACTATTATTATATAATTTTGAAAACTTTTAAAAAGTACATTGAGTACAAATTCATTTATATTTTATTCTTGTGATAATAAAACAAAAATGTATGTTATAATTTTTTAATTCCTACATTAAAAAAATTATGTGAAGGTCATTTTGTGTTGGACATTTTTCCTCATAAATTGGTCAATTATGTTTCATTAGTTTCAATATTTAAGTCATATATGTATATGTATAGTTGTTTAGTGTTGCATTAGTGCATTGATGGTTAATACTGTCAAATCTTAACTGAACGGTAATTTAGTTTCCTGGTGTTTTTATTTGATGGTAGTATTTCCCTTGGACTGTTTTCATTGTAAGGGAATGCTTAGTAATTTAAAGTGCTTCCCTTTGACAATTTATATTTTTGAATGATATCGTGAAAAATAACTTGACATTTCATCTGATTACGGCCATTAAAATTAATATATTTCATTCTTTTATATATATTGTTTAATGTATGAAGTGGTGTGCCTCTTCAGAACTTTGTAATAACATTGTTCATTTCATAGCAAATATGCATTGTGAGTACTCAAAATGTGATAACGAAATTTTCTCAAGCTGTATTTCATAGAGAAAAAAATTACTTCATAAGTATTTATTATTTTTTAATTGCCTAAATGGCAATTTAGGTGTAAAGTTAATGCCTTCAGTATACATTTTTTCCAAATTTATGAAGAGAAAAAAAATTAGCGTGAAATGTATATACTATAATTTAGGTTGAATATACATAATGTTCTATTAATTAAAGTTTACCATGAACGGTTATATTTTTAACTAAATATCTTAATATAGTTTATGAATTATTTTTATATTAGTAGTGTATAATAATTAGTCTTCAAACATCACATTCATTTAAATCAATTTAAAATTAAGCCTGTGCCTATTATTAATATAGAGCTATTGTTAGTTTGGATAAAATAATAAATATGTTAGATTATTATTTTATATTATACAAAACATAATCATGAGTGAAAGTTTTAAGTTTCTAATTACCAGCTGATTAAATAAGTAAGAGTTTTAATAACAAAAGTAATTTTCAAAATAATTCACACTTTTATTTTTTTTTTGGGGGGGGGGTCATGACGATAGAATCAAATTATTTTATTTGTAATATTTTGTTACGTTATATGATTGCTATAGGTGTTGGTGTAGGGGCAATTTAGATGGTAATGTAGAGTATTGAAACTAAAAAAAATGAAAAGGCTGTACGTTAAATATCTTGTGTAAGCTTAAGAAAGAACAGTGTTTTTTTTTTTTTTTAAGTCGCTACTACATGTGGATTATTGTACACTCCATAATCCGTCGTGTTTAGAATTATTTACCTAATGTACAGAACGGTGTGGCCTATTTTGATTTTATATATTTATGCAATGTGTGTTTATACTTTACTTGAAGGTATATTTTGCTTAAATAGTTAAATACTCAAAAGAAGTTTCCTATTATATAACTACTAAACAGAATATTATAAAAATTTAAGCATTTTAAAAAAGTGTATTATACTTTTTACACAATAGCGTGGAAATATTTTTAAAAACCTGTCATCGTCGTATGTAACTTGATTAAATTTTTAGAATTACAATGTCAACTAAAAAAGATTACAGGCAGGTGTGTGTACGTTCATATCTGTCTAATAACCTGAGGGTTTAATGTTTACTATTTAAACTCTTTTGATGTATTAAATGTACAAAAAAAATATTGAAAAATTTATTAAAGCCTTAATTAATACACCGAGTCTGATTTTCAATAACTGTATTTCATTTTGCGATGACTGAAGTTTTGAATATTGCAATTTTTTTCAAAAGATTATTGCAGAATTGAACACTAATCCATTATTACAAATGGTAATTCAATTCTTCAATTTATGCTTTTAGAGTAGATTTTTTCCATCTAAAGACAGATTTATTATTTCTTTTGTACCAGGGTACATTGAAATAAAGGATACAATATTTATATTTAAAAAAAAATATAATTAAATGTTCTAAAAAAACTATTAAACTGAATGTACTGTGTCTGGTATTTAGTTGTAACTATTTGCAAATTCTATACTGAAATTAGTTTGGGTTAATATTGTAGATCTGTTTGAAGACAAAAAAATTAGAAAGTTTCGTTTAAATTATTTTCTACAATCATAAATAATGTAAACATATTTTTTAAAGTGGTACAATTTGTCGCTTCGCTCGAGTTCATCCTATTTCTTTAAATTCAGTTCTGCCCCAAAACCACTTGAAACATTGTTTAGAGCAAATGTAATTTACAATAAAAATTTGAGACTTTTTAAAAATATTAATTCATTGTTGGTTTTAGTAAAATAAATATTGTGGTTTTTTTTCCCAAGGGTGCACAATTGATTTTGTGGGCCCTAAAGTTTTGATGTCAAATTTATAAAAATAATTTATTTGAAATGGGATAATTAGTGTAGTTAAATAAATTAATCCTTTACACAGGCCTTTATTTGTCAAAATTTTAATAATTTTAGGGTCATCTTATAATACATTAATTATTATAATTGTTCAAATAAATCCACTGTTATTTAATTACAAAACAGAAAGTTTCTTATTGATAAACATTACAGTTATTTACCTTGAAAAATATGTTTATATTTGTCTTATCTTATTATTAATATCGCCTTTTCTTAGGCATTAGTTTTTACTAATAATATAAAATCATTTAAAAAAGCTACCGTAATTAATATATATATGTAGCCTAATACTTTATTTTTATTAAGTATTCTAGATGCAGGGATAGTATATTGTGCCGAGGATTGTTAGAAAGTGTCAATGACATGATTCATCGCACTTGTGGTGTTTTTTGCAACCATGCAAATTACATTTATTCTTCATTATAGGGGTGATAGAAATTTGTAACAATGAATTGCCTTATAAAAATTATTAACCATTAGTTTTTAATCATTGTAAATATTAATAACTATATACTATGTATGACTGGTTGTTTATTATAGAATGTTTTTAAGTAATTATTTAGTTAGTTTTGTGAGTGTATATATTATATATATTTAAAAAAAAATTGAAAAGTATTTACCACCAATTATGGAGAGAAAGTTAAATGTTAGTAATATAATTAAATGTATGTAATATGCAGGTGTGGCTCATGCATTATTTTGTCCTTGGCATCATGTATTACCTATTTTAGTTTTAATACTGGTGGAATAGATAATTTTACGCTTCTATATTTTTTTTTAAACCTATTTGCATTAAACTTTTTTGGGAGTGGACTCGTAGCGTGTTAAATTGGTATATCTTATCATTTGATGGTAAATGGGGTAATCATATAGGGTTATAAAGTATATCATAAAAATAATTAGCTTTTAAACTTCCTGGCTATACAAAATAAAATACTGCCTAATTGTTTACATAGAATGGACCAAAATTATTCTTTGTGTCATTAATATTTTTGAAATTACATACAATAATGTGATTTTAGTTGTATAATCCAAGTAATATCGGTTTTTCTAATAAATGAATTATTTTCAATTAATTAAATGTTTAAAGAACAACCAAAGAACATTAAAGATATATAATAAAATTGTTCCTGCCACTATTGCATTAGACCTAAGCGTAAGATTAGAAAGTAGCTACATTTCTGGACATCTTGTGTTGATGTGGTTTCAAGAGACACATATCATTTCATATTTTGCATCATTTAGAAATTTATTATTTGATCGGAAATTGGAAATCATTTTTTTTTTTTTTAAATTGTTTATTATAAATACAACAAACCTAGCTTGGTTGATTTAGTGCTATTGAATTCATACACTGATTTTGCACCAACTTAATCTGTACCGCACCATCAGAATATCGCCTTTATACTATTTGTAGTAGTTTTAGTTAATAATTCTTTCAATATAAATTTTTGTGGTGAAGTCAAATAATTTTATTACATGCATATTCTATAGGGATATTTTAGCTTTTGTATCATCAAATATGCATTCTAAGCGTAACATAGCTCCATGAATCTTTCTTTATTTAGTAAAATTAAATTTTAGTATTTGACTTAATTTATTGTGAATTTATTTCCATATAATCTATTAAGTAGATTAGTTTATTACACAATAAAACTATTACAAATAATGCTATCTTTTTATAAGTTAGCCCCCAGTTTTAACAAGTTTATAGATATGTAATAAATGGTTATCATTGCAAAACTCAATTCTGCACTTTAAGAAATGTTCTAATGTTTAAAAGAATGTTTCATGGAGGTTTTGTAACTAGACAAATGTTTGAAAATTTATTTTCAAGGGGTGTAATATTTAATTTTAAATTTAGTTTGTCAAACATAATAAATGTTATACTCAGTTAAACCATGTTGGTATTATGTCATTCCCATTGTTATATATTTGATGTCGTTGAAAAATGTCTTGAAATGAATAATAAAGAATATGTATATGAATGATCAGGTGTAATGACATTTTTTTTATCTCCCGAGACCCAGTTCTTACGACCTATGTAGGTCTATTGTGGAACCCCATTTCAGTGCTGCTTTGCATGCTTTTCTTGGTGTGAGAATTGCTTTACCAAAATGGCTATACTGTATACGGGCTAGTAATATTTACAAAAGATGTGTTGATGTCTCTGGTTTCTTTGAAATAGACAGCATTTTTCTTTTTTGGCTTTGCCCATCTTCTTTAATTGGTAGTTAAGAGGGCTGATATAGAATCTTATAATTTTTCTCAAATCCTGAGAGGGAGGAGTTAAGCCAGAAACACACTTACCCGATGCTATGCCACGCTAACCTACCCGACGCTCTGCGATCCCCACTGTCCAGATTTTCNCTTCACCTATCTAGTAAGGTGATGGTCAACATTGTAATTATCTAGTGCTGATATAATGCAAGAAGTATCAGCATTATCAAATGCCCCTTGGATATTGAAGAAGCCCCCTAGTGTATATTCATTATTAAGTAATGATTTCTCAATCCTGCCTATCAGTGAATGCAAAGCAGTTTCCACTGATTTTCCTGGTAAATATGCATGCTGATTGGGATGTATCATAGTATTAATTCCACAATCATGTCTAATGTATTTATCTAAAATTTTCTCTATTATTTTTATGAAAATAGAAGATATACTTATAGGTCGATAAGATTTAGGTAATTGATATGAGACCTTACCTGTTTGGGTAAGAAAATTGCCCTAATTTCCTTCTAGCATTTTGGTATATGTCCCAATGCCAGACTACTCCTTAGGAGAGGTCACAACAGTTATTGAAAGAAAAAAAATACAAAATATATTTATTGTATAATTACATTATTTTACAAAAATTATATTTACAAAATAGAAAACGATTTTATTTTATTTAAAAATGAAAGAAAAAACAAATCAAGCATAATTTATCCACTTAATGAAGAATTATTATGAGATGCAATAGGTTCTTGATATACAGTGGACACTTTCACAAATTTCAACATAAAAACTGAAGCAACGCAGAGATGTAGGAAAAAGAGTAAGAATAGAACTGGATACATTTTCTTTGTAAAAACTGGAAACATGGCTTTCATCAAAACTAGACCCGATGCAGTTGCCGCCGACATTGTGATAATCCACTGAAACCACTGTTTAGGAATAAGCCAAAGCGCTGAGAGAGGTACAAATATAAACAAGCAGTAGCCGTACAATGAGATGATCTGCATCAACTTGAGTTTTTCCTGCAATAAGAAAAACAAAACAATAAATACATCCACATAATATACTGTGGAAATATTAATTTAAAAAAAGTACATCAAATAATATTTGATTTATTCTCCGTTGCTTTGATTTGTATAAACATTGTAAAAATTCACTAATTTCGTGGTCCGCTTGACCAATTAATTAAGGTTTTTAGTTGAGATAAAAAAGTCAATGGCACGAGCGGGATTCGAACCCACGATCTTCGGCTAGATACACCGCTGCTCTACCTAAGGTCTAAGGTGGGGTTGAGATGGGGAGTTGGTGTCCGAGTGGATCGAGGTCACGATAGCTCAAGTGGTAGAGCAGCGGCATATCTAGCCAAAGATCATGGGTTCGAATCCCGCTCGTGCCATTGACTTTTTTATCTCAACTAAAAACCTTAATTAATTGTAATTGTAAAAATTTTAATTCATAACTTGTATTGCCTGAGGCTGGATCGATAACGGCTCAAGGATGACCAGAGTAGTCTTCATCTTCCAAATAAAAATTTTCACTTCTGAACAGCGCAAACCACTGAGACAGCGCTTTGTCTTGAACTTCGGAGAAAATTACAAGTAAACAAGTTTTTGGGGATTCCATGATCCAAAAAGTCGGCTTTGATAAGAACTTTCAAATCAAAATACACAATGAAGTCTGGAGAAAAAGGAATCCTAGTTCACCCCAAATTTATCTGGTATGAAGATGGCTGTAGAACCGAGTATGAGTCAGGAGCTGGAATGGAAATAAACCAAGTACATTCATACTTCGGCTATATGCCACTGCCTTTCAGGCAGAGACTGATGTAATCTATTGACTCTTTGTCATAGACCTAGGTCGACCTGTCCTGTCCTAGTGTGAAACCGTGTTTCTAAAATTTGCCGAAGAATCCTTCCTATTTTAGAGACATGCATTGGGCTGGTGCAATATTAATACAGGTTTTGAAAATTAGTTTTATTTTTGCATGTGTTAGTCATGTAAACAAAGCTAAATCCTCAAATCTAATTTGTGAATTATAATAAATATTTTAAATTATCTTTAATACAAAACATTTTAGTTTAATCGATCTCAAAGGCAGGGAAGGTCATGGTAGGCCTTCCGTTGTGGACGATGACCATCTCCAAACGTTGATTGAAGAAAATTCACGTAAGACAACAGGAAATGGCGGAAGAGGTTAGTGTTGAAGTTGAAAAATGGATTCTGTATGATAACAGGAGATGAACGGGTCACAGTGGTTGTCCCTGGTTTGGTGGTGTACTGCTGAATTATGGTGAAACTATCACAGCACGGAAATATTGGCAAGAATTTGACAAAATGCACGGGAAACTGCAACGTCTTTGTCCAGCATTGGTAAACCGTAAGGGGCCGTCTTCTTCACGATAACGCCAGGCCACATGTCATAATGCTAACCCTGTGTTAACTTAGGATTATATTAAACTTAGGATACAGACCTCTCGCCTACTGACTTTTTTAGGAATTTTGATCACTTCTTGAAGGATAAAATTTTTAGACATCGCGGTGAAGCTGAAAACGCCCTCCAAGATTATTGTGTCGAAATAAGGATTTTTATGACAGCAGAATAAAAATGTTTATTACACATTGGCAAAGATGTGTAGATTGTGATGGAATAGATTTTGAACAAATTTTCTTTATTTTAGAAAAATTAAAAAGGTTTGATTGCCTTTTAAAATCTGCTTTATTTTTTGCACCAGCCCAATGGACATCATAGCTCGTATACACCATCTAACCTCTATTGGAGCCGGTACAGCCGTGCCAAGAGTGTTTTTGCCAAATATTGCATGCACTTCCTGTCTATTTCGGACAGAATGAAAGATCCGGTGGACCAAAGCTGAACAAAAAAGCAAGCTACCAAAAACCTCAAGCACCGAGACACTTAATAATATTTAGTTCCAGAAGTAGTGAAAGCCAATAACAGAAATCCGTCAGCTCATGTTCGACTACCTATGTGGCTATGTGAAGCCCTATTGGTGACAAAGAATATTAAATGTTTATCAAGTTTTTTTCTCACCATTATTTTAATTCCATTATATTTTGTGGTCTGATTGACTAAATAACTTCTATCAATTAATTAATCTTTATGTAAGGTATTGGTTGAAATGGAAAAGTTAGTGACGTGCTATCATCACGATAGCTCAAGTAGTAGAGCAGTGGCTTATTTAGTCGAAGGTCGTGGGTTCGAATCCTGCTGACACTTTTTCATTCCAACCAATGCCTTACATAAAGATTTGTTATTTTAACTATTGTACAGCAATAGATTATTTAAAATTAAAAAAAAAATGTAAAGAAATGTTTGGATAGGAAAGAACGACTTACAAGACTTGACCCGTACCAGTGCAAGAAGGCCCAGATGACACAGGGTAGCAGCCAGGAGTAGAAGAATATGACCATCGCTATTGTCGTGACCGTATGGAAATTGTATTTCCAGTGTCGATCCTCTCCCAAAGAAGACTGGAAATAGTCAGCGATGTTCCCTGTGATTGTCATCGAGAATATCAAGGTCATTGAAATCCAAAACGGCCCGTAGAGATCCGGCTTGTCTTTGACGCAGGTCTGCAGGAAGTTGCCGTACGGGACGAAAGACCATCGGAGCCGGTGCAAAACTTCTTCAGTGTCGACGTCGAAGAGTTTCTTGTAAAATTCCAACTGCCATACGGACACTTTAGGCTCAGGAGAGCTTTCGACCCCCTCCGTCGGGCCGGCTCGCTGCGGATGTTCATCCACATTGACAGGAATCGACCCGACTTCTGTGGAAAAACTCTGAAAAACCAATTCTCCCGGCATATCAATTATTGACTTATCCATATTCGGTTCAAACTCACACTTGTTTACTAATTATAAATTGAGTTTAGAAACAACGTAAATCATGTATTTATTACTGTGGCCGAACTGCGATTTCAAGACTGACAGTTGTCACTCTCGGCTTATCATTCTATACTGGAAGGTTCTTTTTCAAAATGGTTATCGGTAAGTTGTGTTTTCCAGTTTAAAACATCGATATTTTATATCAATTTAATAATACATAGATGACCGTTGATTCGAATCACGTCATTTCAAATTTTATTCCTAGTTACCGCTGACTTAGTTGATTTTTTTTCCGAAATTTGTATCTGCATCTAGAGATGCAACAAACAAATGATTTATATTATGTGGATTTACAAAATTAACAGTTAGTATAAAAAAATCATATACATACATACATATACGTTATACACCGCCATCACAGGTAAGCAGGAGTAAAAAGGATGTGAGATCGAAGAGGAACCATCAATCTTTATAAAAAGATAGTTCCTACTCACGGTAGAATAAATTTATTTAATTTTTTATATTGTATAAATTAAAATAACTGTTCAGAAATCGTGAGATGCGGTTTGGTGTGATGTAGGTTTCAGAAAAACATTTTCTTTATCGTGCCAACGTTTCGATCTTTATTGAGATCATCTTCAGGGCTCAAAGTGTTTGTCTTCTGTGTAATTGTGCCATTCTTGCGTGTCGTGTTGAGAGTGCCACAAGACGAGACGACAAATTACACAGAAAACAAACACTTTGAGCCCTGAAGATGATCTCAATAAAGATCGAAACGTTGGCGCGATAAAGAAAATGTTTTTCTAAAACGTCACACCAGACCATACCTCACGATCACCAAATAATCATTTATAAGTAATGGTCAACCAATTCGAAAAATTGACTAGATCGAAATAATTCGCAGGGGTTTAATGTCTTCAATAAAAAAAGAAGCAAACTGTCTTTTAGTGACTGTGACTTTTAGTTACAATTTATTTTTATTGAATTTTATTTAAAATATTTTTGTCCTGTGGTCGAGTTTGTTGGTCATGGCCAACCCCTCTCCAACGTTCAGACAAATATAAATTAATGTTATTTTTTGAGTAGAATATGTTATTTGATTGATTGAACATTTTGTTGATTGGCGCAGATTTCTTAATGTGAAATTATTTATAATTAAATGGATATTTTTTTAGTCACAAATAAGTGACACCTGTTGATATCAGTGATAAGAAAATCTCCCGCGTAAAAGGTTCAACATTCCCGCCTGTTGCATCTCAGCTTCCTGGTAGTCGTGCAGAACCGGAGAATTGGAGACGCCGCCCTTTCCCAAGAAAAACAACTCGAAAAAAGTTCAAATCGCCGATTTTCCATTATTTTGGCCGTTTTGTCATTTGGTGCGAAATGATTGATTCAGACGTCGACCAGCAATTAAAAGAGATTCAGAAAGAATATCTTGACTTGCTCGACGATGAAGTGAGTACTGGTCGACCTCCCGATCCGAGGCTCGTCAATCTCAACCGTTTTCAATTTTCAAATCGTCAATTTCAGGACGACCAAGGCGTTTATCAGAGGAAGGTGAAGGAAATGATCGAAAGCAAAAGGACCCGCGTTATCGTCAATCTGGCCGACATCCGTAAAAATAAACCAGAAAGGGCTGTCAAGTTAGTACCATTTTTTATCTTTGTTTGTACATTGTAAAATATGTTCCGCTTCAGTTTGTCCAGTCGCAGTACAACAATTGTCGGATTGCACATCATGACACATATCTGACAGTCATAACATGCCTGACACGATTCATGCTTAACACATTGACTGCAGACCTTTCAGGCCTCTCTTGACACCTCCTGATGAATTTATTTAAACGGTCTAAAATTACAAAGGCCAAGTCAACGATTCAGGTAGTCATCCACAATACCTGGCATTATCCTGCATTTGTAAAAATTTGTCATCGATGTGGGGGGGGGGCACATGGCACTACATGCTCTTCTTATAAGTGCGTCTGTGAAGTTAGAGATCTTCCTTGCACAACAAACAATTCGGTGAGGGCGTATGAGGAAATGCCACCCCAGAACATCAATGCCTCACTGTAGAATGCCACCTGAGGAACCATACAGCATGGGGCGTACCTTTCTTAAACGCTGCTATGAAATTTGAGGCCAACTCTCATTTCATCTGTAAGTGTCTGTCCCTAAACTTTCAATGTCCAATTCACATATTCCTGTGCAAATTTAATTCTTACATCTTACATTCCTGGAAAAAATCAAAACGTTTTGGACTTGTTCTATCAGTTTCTTATCTCATTTCCTTTAATGGTGTGGTTTTATACAGCCTGATGATGGATGTATCTATTGTCCTGGCCTTCTTGGTTGAATGCGTAGAGTGAATGCCAAAGAACCTTTCCTATCATAGTGTGAAGGCTCTATCCTTCCACTAATAATGTTATGACTCTGACGCTGTCATGTATATATAAAATGCAGGGTGGGCAACCAAGACCCGAGGGGTTAAATGCCTGGGTAGACTCGTACCCCATCCCTAAAAGGTCCGGGACTTGTTCGGCTCACGTGTCCTGCATAAACCTCTTGGACTTGTTCACAAACCCCAAGACTTTGGACCATTTAATTTCGGGGAGTGATTTGGTGATGTCCTCTCCTTCAAAAGCCTCAAATCTAGACCTAGCGTACCTATCGCACTCTGCGAGGTAGTGCCGTGCCGTTTCTTCTTTTATTTCACAAAAACGGCAAAAAGGATCTGGTAGAATACCTATTACGAAGAGGTGTCTTCTCAGTGGGCACAATGGCCCGTCAGGATACCTATCAGCCTCCTAATTCCCTTCCTTGAGTTAGAGAATAGCCATTTCGATTCTACTGGTTTAATCTCCGTAACAAACTCCTTCGATTGCCTGTGTCCAGGGGACAAATTCCATTCCCTAAGGAATTGTTTCATACCCCAGTTTTTGATACTCTCTTTCGCTGTGCTTTTAGAGTGAGGTAATACCGGTTGTGGCCCGACAAACGCAGTATTCGAGCCTTCTTTGGCCAGGCTGTCCGCCTCTTCATTGCCATAGTGTCCTTTATGTGCTGGTATCCAAATAAGTATTCTCATACCTGGAAGTGATCCTATTGATAAGATCAACAGTTTCTCCCACCAGTCTAGATGTTGATAAATCTTTTTGAAATGACCTAAGACTGGCCTGACTGTCGGAAAAAATTCTAATATCTTTTCCCTTGATTTTATTTTTCATAAGTGTTCTACAACACACATTAATGGCCCAGATTTCTGCCTGAAAAACAGAGGTGTTATTGCCAAGAGGGGAGGAGATGCTGATACCTAATTTAGGTATATGGATTCCAGCACCGCTTCCTTTACCTTTGATAAGTATAGCAGTCTATGTTACGATGGTCCTCATCCGCACTATAGTTGTATTCTAACTACCTGAAAGTACTTTTTCCCCGAAGGGATTTTAACCTTTTTATCGCTAACGCTTAATACTTGGCCATTAACCTTACTCAATAATTGTGTGATTTTTGAGTGACCCTATGGTATTACCCTTATGGTTCCAGCTGCCTTCGCTAATTAATCTGTAGCAGCTGGTTAGTGCTCTGACCTTAGCCTCTATGTGTAGAGGTGTGGTATTGGTTATGATCTCAAGTCCTAGGGTGGATGTAGTTGAAAATGCTCCTGTCATCATCAAACAGCCTAGTCTTTGAAATGACATTAATTTATTAATGTTCCCTTTATTTTCTAGACTTTTCCACCATACTAAAGCTGCGAAAAATAATGTAGGTAGAATAATTGCAGTATATAGCCATTTGGCTACTCACGGTTTGATACCCCATGTTTTACTGACAATCCTCCTATATTGTGCCTTTCCTGTATGTATTATTAATATTTCCTTTCCAATCAAGTTTCTTGTCAAGCGTCACCCCCAACGAATTTGATTGAATCCACTAATTTTATTTCTATGCCCTGAAATTTAGGGTTTTTGAAATTACCTAATGTTCTTCTTCTACTAAACATTATCAATTTCCAGTCACAATACCACTCAGAAAGCAATCCCATGGCATCCTTCATCAGTTGTGAAAGAGTCAGGGGAACCCTACCCGTGATCATTATGGTACCATCATCTGAAAATAATTGACTGTAGAAACCTGAATTATTCAGAAGTTCTATTAAACTGTTTACTGTAATTAACCATAAAAGAGGTGACAAGCAGCCTCCCTGTCGACAGCCTCCTTTGACATTAATTCTAAGAGCGTTACCACTTAAGCACATATTGATTGACAATCCTTCCCTCCAAGGTCTTCACCATCTAGTAAGGTGATGGTCAACATTGTAATTATCTAGTGCTGATATAATGCAAGAAGTATCAGCATTATCAAACGCCGCTTGGATATCGAAGAAGCTGCCTAGTGTATATTATTAAATAATGACTTCTCAGTCCTGCCTATCAGTGAATGGAAAGCAGTTTCCACTGATTTTCCTGGTAAATATGCATGCTGATTGGGATGTATCATAGTATTAATTCCACAATCATGTCTAATGTATTTATCTAAAATTTCCTCTATTATTTTTATGAAAATAGAAGATATACTTATAGGTCTGTACGATTTAGGTAATTGATGAGACCTTACCTGTTTGGGTAAGAAAATTACCCTTATTTCCTTCCAGCATTTTGGTATGTCCCAGTGCCAGACTACTCGTTAGGAGATCCCATACTGTACTAGATAGGCTAGGTGTATCCTGCTGAAGGAGGGCAGGGAATATTCCATCCACCCCGGCTGCCTTGAATTTCTTGAAGGAATCTACCGCCCATTTGTAGGCCTCCCAGGAAATTAACTCATTAGCCTTATCTCAGTTTGGTGTTGGTAGTTCTTCCTTGGTTAGAGTATCGGAGGAGTCTGACCTGGGGAAATGAGCCCTGGCCATCAGGTTCAATGTCTCCACACTTGATTTGGTGTACACCCTATTATCATCCTGTAAATAACCTAAAGGATTAATGTAATCTTTTTCCAGAAGTTTAAAAATACGAGCACTTTCCTTAATAGTCTCTGTTTTCAAACAATAGTCCCTCCAGGCTTTACGCTTAGTTTTCCTTAACTCTTTTTTATAGTCTTTTTTCAAGGAGAGATATTCCCTCCATTACTGTTCGGAGTTCCATTGCAGGGCTTTTTTGTGTGATGTTCTGACCCTTTTCCTTAAACTAGCCAGATCTTTATTCCACCAGTGATGACGATTCTGACGTAGTATTTTTTCAGGGCATGCTTCTACATATGCGGAGTTAATGACCTGTATAATGTTGTTAGCAGCCTGCTCCAACTCTGTTACGTTAGTAGGAGCAGGTATGCAACCTGTAATATTATTATTAATAGTATTGACATAGGTACCCCAGTTCGTTAGTTTTGGGTTCCTAAACCTTATTTTGTTAACTTCTCTTCAGATTCTAAAGTCAATGATGCAATGATCTGAGATCTTACCTGGTGTCATCTTCCACTCCGTTATGCAATTAGCAATTGGCAGAGAGGCTAGTGATATATCCAATACTGCCCTCCTATTTTTTTGTATAAAAGTGGGGATATTGCCTACATTCAGGATGAATAGGTTTTTACTCAATATAAATTCCAAGAATGTTATATCTCTCGCATTACTGTCTGTGCTGCCCCATGCTAGGTTATGTGCGTTGACATCACAGCCCAGAATGAGACCAATATTATTGTCGTCACAATGTGATATAAGTTCCCTAACTGCCTCCGTTGGGCAGACCTCATTGTGGGGTGAATATACACTTGCCACATATAGAGTTTTGTGGCTCCCCCTTCTCCTGAAATCAATTTATATTGTAGTGATATCCTTAGAACAGAACCTGGTTATAGGAATTGGTCTTAATTCCTTATGGGCCACAATACATGTTCTCGGCCTATCATGCCTTAGATCCTGAAACAGTTCAAAATTATTATTTTTTAAACCGATTGCTTGGCCCCTGTAGGTATAGGGTTCCTGTATTAAATAAATCAATGTTTGCAGCACAGTCATGTCCCTACCGATTTCGGCCGTGGCAATCTTGCTGTGCTGCATATTAATTTGTGACACCCTGAGAGGTCTCATGAATAGTTCATGGTACACTCGGGGTGAGTCACATAAATGAGGAATGAAAGGTTTATCCCTGAGTCAGAAGAAGGGAATCCTCGGCCTCACTGGATAGCTCGACCATCATCCCCTCCACACCAGGACAGCCTGCTTCTACATCACCCTTACCTCTTTCCGCGTTAGCGGGGTTGACGATACTTCCCTCTTCCTTTGTCGGTGGAGGTGTGTCCTTGTCAATCTCCATTGTCTCTGGTAGAGAGGATATGGAGACTTTCACCCTGATGCCATTCACCTCCAGTGTCATCGTTGGATTTTGCTGGAGTATTTTGGCATCTGCTTCCGATACTTCCCAACATAGATAAGTCCCGTGGCCTGTGTGGGGTTCTCTGTTGTAGGCAACGAGTTCACAGTCCTTAATGTTCAAACCTGCCTTCCTGTTAGAGATTCGTGACAGTTTGTTTATAGACTCTTTCTTAGTCTCGAGACCCACTGCATATGTGGACACTGGCCTTTCTCGGTAGGTCGTTGATGTCGCAGACCACATATTCCCTCTCATCACACAGCTTCTTAAGCGTGTCCCTGACAAACTTAACGGTGAGTTCGTCCCCGCAGCTTATCATGTACATGTAACCTCCTTTTACCAGACCTGAATTTATAAAATCCACGCCTCATCCTCTTCCTCGATCAATTCCAAGGCACTGTTGCAGATCAGTGATCTCAACTTTAGTGACTCCTCATTGGTGAAGAAATCCTTGTTGGTTTTCCTGAAAACAACTTTAACCACTGGTTTTTGAGTTCTTCATTTACCTTCACTTGCCTTGGTTTTTTGGCAGGTCCTTTTGCAGAAAGTGGAGTGGAAGAATACTCCATCCTACTTCTTTTCGTGCTAGTCCCCAGTCTATTCTGTGCTGGGGTAGTACTTACCTGGGGGTCACGTCTTNCTCCGTTATGCAATTAGCAATTGGCAGAGAGGCTAGTGATATATCCAATACTGCCCTCCTATTTTTTTGTATAAAAGTGGGGATATTGCCTACATTCAGGATGGATAGGTTTTTACTCAATATAAATTCCAAGAATGTTATACCTCTCGCATCATGTCTCAGTTTGAACCTGTCCTTGAATGCAGGTTGAAACGCGGGTGTGGACCCAATCTTCCGAGAATTGGAGCGATCCTTGTTGTGCTCATGCCTGGATCGCCCTCCTCTCTTACCTCATTTGCTATTAACCAGGGTGAATCCTTCGTCTGTATCACCCTGTACCTTAGGAAGAGCAACCTTATCTCCTTCACAGCGCTCCGTATCGATGCTGCCAGTGGAGAAAGGAGTGCTCTCCATCTCTTTTTCCGTCTTCTTTTTTTCTTCTGCTGCTTTTCCACTCATTCGAGTCATACTGGCTCAGATGCCTGATTGAAGCCATTAAAAAAATGTTTAAGAATAAGAATAATATCAGATAAAATTAATGAAGGAAAAAGTACTGAATTTGATCTTTAGGTGTTGCAAAACAGAAGGGCATAATGCTACTTTTTGTACAACTGGGATTAATCAGTACAAAAGTAAACACAGGAGGTAAACAAAGTATTATTTACTGTTTATTTTGACTATGATGGCTCCTAAGTACTTGTGTAACGTGTGTCTTTTTTTGGGCCCAACCCTGAATCCTGAGACCAGACGACTAAGTCCCAGAGATTTTTTTTTATCAGACCTGACTACAGTAATGTAATCTATTGAGGCACTTTTTATGGCAAATGAAATATACCAAATATTCAATACAAAGCCACAAATAAAACAACTAAAACAAAAATAGAAACAAAAGAAAATTCATTATTTATTCAAATTTTATTTATGAAAGCCAAAAAAACAATTTTGATATCTTTTGTATCAAAACCTATTTAGGTGTAAAATTAATTTTGTTCCTTCTAATTTAATTTATTATTTATAATTAGCAAAGAGTAAAATTTAAGAATCTTTATATTTTATAATACAACCTATTTTAGAATAAACTTACTATTTTTTAAATAAAAGTTAATTTATTTTTATTAGGGAAAATAGTAAAATTAAACAATCTTTTATTTTCTGTTACGACCTAATTAAAAATAAAATTACATTTTTAAAAATATCCTATTTGATTAATGTTTATAAGGAAAAGTAAAATTAATTTTTTTTCATTTTTGTTATGACCAATTTTAAAATAAAATTACTTTTTCTATCACAACTGTTAAATCAAATGTCATTTATTTTATTTTTCTTTTTAAAAATATATGTCTTTAGTTGCAACCTCTGCATGTGGAGGGCAGGCGGTACATTTAAATCCAAATGTGACACCTGTAACTAATGTTGAAAGATGATGGGTTTTATTTTAAACTTAATAAATTGAATGAAACGTTAATTTTGTCCATCAGTGTGTGTGTGGGTGCTTACATGTACTTACTATCTAATTTTTGTAAATTTAATAATAAATTTTATAAAATGAAAGGGTTACCTATGGGATTCCATTATCCCCACTTTGTACCGAAATATTCACGGATAACTTTGAAAAAGTTCCTTTCCAATCAAATAACAAATTAATTAAATTGGTCCTTTTTTAGAAACTCTATGTAGACGATATTTTATGTATACGGTCGAGAACATTGCTGGCTCAGATTCAACAGGTTGTTTGGTGTACTTGAAATTCAACTCTCTGACATCAGAATCCACAATTCAGTGACCGATGGCATATTTCGTTCCTACCTTTGGTCAGATCGTCCGATTCTCTTGATTTATTATCCAACACTTAAAATATGGCCTTGAAATGGCCTAATGAAAAAAATGTGTTAAAAAAAAAATTAATTAGTTTTCAATGCATTACTATTGTAAATTAAAGAAAAATAGTTATTGTTATATGTTGTGGGTGTTTTAGGTATACTGATTTTTTTTATAGGTTTTTTACTGCACATTTTGAATTTTTTATTACAGAAAAATCCAGTCATATGTGACTTATGGGTCATCTGTGACAGTTGGATTATGCTATTATGATTATTTTTATATTTGGAATTCAACTGTCAGATCTATCTAAAACATTTGTCAGATAAAATCGCATTGTTACCTGCACATTCCTATTTTGGATCTTATTGACTGAGACTTGTTGGCTGAGTCAGTTCTGATTGCCTAGACTTGTCTGATCCAACACTTGATAAACAAATAGTATTTGAACACTTGTCACTCATATCTGGCAATTAATCGGGTGTGTGGAGCCCTAATTTATTTTTCTGAATTATTTGTAAATTGCTTTGTGACTGTGGTCTCACATATTATTATTATTATTTATTTTTATTTTTTAGCTTAATGAAAAATGCTGGTGAAGAGCTACTTGCATTTCAGAATGCCTTAAAACAGTATGTCGCCACCCTAGATCCATTGTATGATTTCAACGAATTTTATGTTGGCTTCGAAGGAAGTTTTGGAAGTCGTCACGTGACGCCACGTACACTTACTTCAAGATATATCAATAACCTTGTTTGTGTAGAAGGGATTGTTACACAATGTAAGTACTTTTAGTTGACAAAATATATTACAAGGAAATATTTTTATGGATTACTTTACATTAAATCTGTTGTGAAGTGGTTTTGTTATGTCTGTTGGGTGTAAAAAAGTAACAATGTTTTAGGTTCTCTTGTGCGCCCAAAACTAATGAGAAGTGTTCACTATTGCCCTACGACTCAAAAAATGTCCGAAAGGCTCTATTCCGACTTCACATCTCTAAAACCCATGGCTACTGCACCGATATATCCTACTAAGGTTAGTGATTCACTAAAATTTTGTTTGCTATTATAAAAAAGGTAATTTATGTTTTATTTTTCTTTTGTAGGATGTTGATGGAAATCTTTTAGAGACTGAATATGGTTTATCAAATTATATGGATCACCAAAGTATGACAGTGCAAGAAATGCCTGAGAAAGCGCCTGCAGGTAGTCTCTTGAATAAAGCTGTGTGATCAAAAGAGGGTTTTTCTTACATTTTCTAATTTTCAGGTCAGTTACCAAGATCAGTTGATGTGATTTGTGATCATGATTTAGCTGATAAATGTAAACCAGGAGATCGAGTCCAAATTGTAGGCTTGTACCGGTGTTTACCTGCAAAACAAGGAGGTTTCACATCTGGTATTTTTAGGTAATTTCAACTCAAATAAATTCAATTTATACAAAATGTAATTTAATTTTGTCTTAATACAGAACTGTGCTGCTTGCAAATAATATAAGTCAATTGAGTAAAGACACCAAAATAGCTTTATCTAGAGCTGATATTGCTAACTGTCGAAAAATGGCAAAGCAAAAGGGCATGTTTGACATGTTAAGCCGTTCATTAGCACCTTCCATTCATGGACACGAATATGTTAAAAAAGCAATACTTTGTATGTTGCTCGGTGGTGTTGAAAAAATTCTTCCAAACGGCACACGTCTTCGAGGGTAAAAACAGATTTACTCCCAGTTTGCGGACTTTTCATAATTCTCAAAAATTTTAGAGATATAAATATACTATTGATTGGAGACCCGAGTGTAGCCAAATCTCAACTCTTGCGTTATGTTTTATGCACTGCTCCTCGTGCGATTGCTACTACTGGCCGTGGGAGTTCAGGTGTAGGTTTGACGGCGGCTGTAACTTCAGATCATGAAACTGGGGACAAAAGGTATTTTTTTAAATTATTATTATTAATTTAAAAAAAAAAAAAAAAATTTGGTTACCAGGTTGGAAGCTGGTGCTATGGTTTTAGCCGATCGTGGTATTGTTTGTATTGATGAATTTGACAAAATGTCAGACATCGATAGGACAGCAATTCATGAAGTGATGGAACAAGGAAGAATAACTATAGCCAAAGCTGGTATTCATGCCCAACTAAACGCCCGATGCAGTGTATTAGCTGCTGCTAACCCAGTTTATGGAAAGGTAATAAATTATCATTTTACAAATATAATAATAATTATAAAATATAATATAAATACTCCTAATTTTCTTTATAAAATTGTCTTTTCATTTTTTATGAATATTTTTTGTAGTATGATCAGTATAAGCCACCTATGGAGAATATCGGTTTACAAGATTCACTCTTATCAAGATTTGATCTGTTATTTGTTATGTTAGACACAGTAAACAGCGATGTTGATAATATTATATCTGATCATGTTGTAAGAATGCACAGATACAGGTAGGGTATAAGAAAAAGTGTACACTCTACCAGTAAAATGTATATTCAATTATTAAAAAAATAAACTTTTTCAGAGTTCCAGGTGAACTTGATGGAGCTGTTTTGCCAATGGGTTCTTCCGTCGAAATTCTGAGTACTCACGAACCTACTGAACAGTCAACTCAAGATAGTAACATACAAGTATTTGAGAAATATGATGCTTTACTCCATGGAAATTCCAGATCAAAAAAGTAAATATCAGTTTATATACCATGTTGAATGTAAATAAGTATACAGACATAGCTGTCTTGTTGATTTATATTCACTTTTTTTTCTAATACAGAAAACTTATAACTGTTGATAACACCCACACACATATAAACTTAATTGAAAAAATAATAATAAGCTACAAAATAGAGAGGTACCTAGAGAAGAAACTAAAATAAATTTATTTAAAAAAAAATTGCCTTAAAAAATAGACTCTTTATATCAGGGAAACTAACTGACATGATCATAGGACTGATATATTTTATGACTGATATTTTCATCTTAACATAGATTGTTGTTGGCTGCTTACACAATTTTTTGTCTCATTGATTTTGTATTACTGGGAATTGCTTATGGGTTGAGTTAGGTAGTGTAGGGTTAGGTAAGACAATTAGGTTAGCAATTAACCAAAAAGCCCAATAATTTCTTATTCATTGCCTAAACACATTTGAAACATAAATCATTTATAAAATTTAACCACTACTACATGTAGTATTTAGTGACAGTAAATTAATGATTATTGTGAGATATAAATAACTATTTACCATGTAGTAGTATTATTTATTGTTATAATATGACAAAACGTCTAATTATTATTATTTATATTTCAGTGAGAAAATTTTTACGGTTGAATTCATGAAAATTTATATCCACATAGCAAAATCACTAAAGCCTCAATTGTCTGACAAGGCAACTGAAGTTATTGCTGAAGAATACGCAAGATTGAGATCACAAGATGCTGTACAGGATGGTGAAGCTAGGGTAAGCATTGGACTGAAAATTTTTAAAAAGGCTACATACATAATAAATAAGATTGACTGGGAGGATTTTTATTTATGTTATATTGTTATTTGTTCATATGATTTATGTTAGAAAACATTTCTTTTTTTGAATTAATTTATTATTTTTTTATAAAAAGTAAATACATTACTTATTCACATTTATTTGAAATGTTTGTTTGAAAAATGGAAATATATTTACTTTTTTATTTTAAAAAAAAGGAGATGTTTTCTACATAAACCAAAAAAATTTAAATAAGACAAATTAATCTTAAAAATTTTATATTTAAAATAAAACATTATTATTTATATAAATTTGAGTAATGAAATGATACCTTTAGTAACTTTTGAACTGTGATTTATTCTAGACACAACCTGTTACGGTGAGAACTTTAGAAACACTGATACGACTTGCAACAGCTCATGCAAAGGCTAGATTGGCGTCAACAGTTGAACTTCAAGATGCAGAAGCAGCAATTGAGCTAGTTCAATTTGCTTATTTCAAGAAGGTACATAAAAAAATATTTTGTTGTAACGTACTTTTAACTTAATTTTGTTTTGCCCATTAGGTTTTGGAAAAGGAAAAGAAGAGAAGGAGACAGGCAAAGAAAGACAGCAGGGAAAGTGGTGATGATGATGATGACGATGATGATGAAGATGATGATGATCATGATAACACTGAAACACCACAAACTAAAAAGAGAAAGAAAGCGGTAAAATATTTATTTATATACCCTTTTTCACATATTTTTAAAAAATTTTCCTTTGTCGTTTAGAAAAGCAGCAATGGCATGTTTGCTTTGTCAGATTTGGAAGATAATGTCGTCAGCTCGGGGGTACCTTCTAGTACGAATGGTGAGGGAGAAAGTTCTGTGGAACAAGCACAATCTGATGAAATTTCAGAAACAAGGTAACAATTTAACTGTTTTTGCATATGTTTTTTATTTTGTTTAAGATATTAATTTTTTTTTTTTTTTAAGGCTTGGTGAGTTCAGATTGGCTATCTCCAGATCCTTCCAAGAGGCTAACAAGCAATCATTTAATTATAAGGAACTAATTGAAAATGTCAATAGCAAATCGAAGGATTTGCCTTACTCAGAAAGTGAAATTCGGGCCGCATTTAAGAAAATGACTGATGACAATCAAGTCATGGTTTCAGATGAAACAGTTTTTCTAATTTAAGTAGCAGAATAGCAGAATAATAAAACAAAAACCATCATTGTATTATACAAATTTGAAAATTCAGATGCAGTCTTTCAAATATATTTTTCCCTTGTAAATTTATCTTTTTTTTCCTACAATAAATAAAAAGTTGCGTATTTTGGGATCTTGGTAATTATACTAAAAATTGTCCACTTATTAATTATAGAATTTTTAAATATATTGATTGAATTGATTTGGTACATGCTAGTTTTCAAAAATCCAAAATTACCTCAGTCTTATCCATTTGGCACCAGAGTTATCAGCAGCTGGGTCATACTTAAATACATTCCATTCTACATTCATGCCTATATCAAGTAAGGCAATACATTAAATATTCTTCGATCCAACTAAACTGTCTAATCCAAATAAAGATCAATATCCAAAATATTCCATCATCATTCATCTTAAACTACTTACACTCTATTTTTTTCCTTTTCCAGGGACTTTTGTGACTCTTCCCTTTATTTTCTTGTGATCTAACATCTTCCATACCTCAAAAAGTGCACTACTCTGTTTTTGTATAGGCATTGGTACTGCCTTTCTGAAGAGGATGTACATACCAGTCACAGGACGTGTTCTGATGTCTCTGCTGTTTCATGACAGTCGACAGGTTTCTATCTCACAAGGGGATGATCAGGTTAGTGTGTAACGGTACCAAACTTATTTTTGGGATTCTACACGCCAAAATATTGGACATGCATCTGCTATTTCTTGTGAATGGGCCCTGGTTTTGCCAAAAAAAAGTTAAAATGTTTCGTTTTTTATATTTGTATTTCACCTTTCTACTTACATAAAACAATTATGTGAATACATTTTACAGCATTTTTTATGTAGATTGCAATAAAAATATAGCAAAAGCTGTCAAATTGTATCAGTAACCAAAAAATTTCTAAAAACCAAATATTTTTGTTTTAGCTCAAATTTTTATGTTTTTCGAGAAGTTTTATCATAATGTTTGATTGCAACGGTTATAACTCAAAAACGGCTAAAAGGATTTTAACGTCAAACACTAAATTTAAAAGAAGAGGAAGGTAGCTTTTTAACGATGTATCTGCCATAAACGATAGAAAATACAAAAAATAGGTAGGTTATCAGAAATTAACCTTGGGTTTTTTTTAATGTAAATAATCCGATTTTAATGTTTGATACAGTTATAAAATTCGCTTGACAATTATGTCATGAAAATCGGTCCTGTAGCTTTTAAGTAAATGATATTAGACCTTGCACTACGAAAATCATTTCAGCAGAAAGGTCGAAATTATCAGTCAAAAAATTAATTTTCACCGATTTCCACAAAAGTCGGTATCTAAGGGTTTTATAATGATAGAATCATGACAATGAGGTCAAATCCAAGTTTTGACTATTTTCTGACCTACTTTGTTTACAGAATGTTTGTTAAACTATTTAAAAAAAAACCCAGCTTTGTTGATTTATCTTTTTAAATCAAACCAAATGAGAATATTCTGCGTGTAGAACATTTTGTTTTTATGTTGACCAACAATGGAATTATTACAACAAAAATAATGTGTAGAGATTAGTGACTGTTTATCGATAGTTATTCAGATATCGTGAGATGCGGTCGGGTGTGATGTAGGTTTCAGAAAAACATTTTCTTTATCGTGCTAACGTTTCGATCTTTTATTGCGATCATCTTCCGGGCTCAAAGTGTTTGTCTTCTGTGTAATTGTGCCATCCTTGTGTGTTGTGTTGAGAGTGCCCTTTTTGTTGTAAGGAATGGAATGTTTGGGACCAAGTGACAGGAAGTTCTGGATTTCTGGAGGAATGGTAGTTTTGGTTAGGTTTAGGAACCATTTGCTTGTGTTAGAAGGTGTTTGTTTGTTGATTAAGTTATTTAATTTTTTGATGTGTTTATTTTTAATTTGGTCAAAATGGGCGTTGTTTGCATCTTTTTGATGTGTGTAAAATTATTTTATTAAATTGGGCACTCTCAGCACGACATGCAAGGATGGCACAATTACACAGAGGACAAACACTTTGAGCCCTGAAGATGATCTCAATAAAAGATCGAAACGTTGGCACGATAAAGAAAATGTTTTTCTGAAACCTACATCACACCCGATCGCATCTCACGATATCTGAATAACAAAAATAATGTTTGTTTTAATCTCTAAATAACGATTTTTGCTCATTTAATTGCAATAATTAATTTTGAAAAAAGCTTCATTACCCCGATTAAGTCGATTTAATAAAAATTCCTTTAAATGTATTTATACAGAACATGATATTGGGAAAGTGGGGTAAATCATTATTTATAGATTAAAAAAATATTTTGTGTAATAATTTCATTGTTGGGTAATATAAAAACAAAAATTTATAATAATAAAATATAATAAAAATATTCAGAATTGGAAAATTTCTATGTAAAAAAAAAGGAAAAATCAGGGTCTATTCACAAGAAGTGGCAGATATGTGTCCAATATTTTGGAGTTAGGCCGGTACTACACACTAGACGGAATGCGACAGAAATTTTGTGTCAAAAATTCCAAACAAGCCAGATATAAATAAGGAAATGAACGGAATGCCTACAGCCTCTTCCGTTTTACCCATGTCCATCGCCAGTGTGGTGCACCCCTCCACTTTGCATTGTTTTGACCTGCTTAGATGGAACCCAACGGAAAATACCATCGATGAACGTTGGTGCATCAACAGAGCTCGACGGAGACATTTTGACAAAATTTTGAATTTAAGCATGTGCAATGGAAATTTCCATCTAATGTGGCGCTGGCCAACCATCAAAAAATTTGGTCCAAATCTGTGGCTCACCAACCTGGTCGTTCCCTTGTCAGGTTTTCCCATTTTTTAATGTGGTAATCTAAAGGGCTTTGGCCCAGTATAAAGGTATATTATTTTCCTTAATTTTTGCCCACGGCGAGAGGTAGATTTGTTTTTCTGGTTGAAATGTTTCAAAACCACTAATCGTTGCACCTGGTAAATTCATCTAGTGTGGTCACTTCTCCGTCCATTTGTTCAGTTCAGATTTTAGCTTGTTTTATGGTGTGTCGATTAGTGGTTCTGCACACAAGAATGTGAGGACTGCTGCTTTTGCCAGTCATCCTGTTTGTTAAAATTACCAGATTATATTTTCCCAGGAGCTGGAGATATGCTTTCTCTGGCCAGCTTTGAATCGAAAGCTAAGGCCTGCAGTGTTGCTTGGCTATCTGTGAATGTACGTATACCTTTAAAACAATTGATGTGGGATTCTGCTAAGTCAAAATTTTGGCCTTGTGACATCTATCCTGCTCCATGTAATATTTTAGATCCATCTGTATACCACAATAAAGCCTCTCTAATATATTCATGTTCGAAACGGCACAATAAAGAAAATGTTTTTCTAAAACCTGTCACAACAGACCGCATCTCACGATCTTCAAATAATTATATTCATGGTTTGTATTCTTCCAAATAGCTCATGTTCTTGTTATTTTTAATTGGAAGAGTCTGTCAAAAGTTTCTTTTAATTTTGCAGACATTTTTGTAGCCATGTCATTTATTATTTTTATTCTCTTTAGGATAGTGGCTTTTTCTTAAGTCTGGTTTTATTTCATTTTGTCATAAGAAACTGCTCTTTTCTATGTCATCCTCTCCATATGCAATGGTGGCAAACCTAGTACTAAAAAAATACTATACATATGAGGAAGTGAACAAACAACAAATATCCATTCAGGAGAATATTCATATTTCTTATAAAAATCAGACCAGGGGACATGAACCTTATATCGATTAAACTTCTACTTTTTATTTAGGGTCAAGGCATGAGGTCTACGAATTTCCCAAGAGTGCAGTATCGAGATGACAACTAGTACACCCAGGTCTAATTAATAAGAACATTGCTAGGAATGGTGAGCTCAAAGATCACTTTGAGAATACAGCTAAACTGCCTTAAATGATGACTTAGGGTGGTTCCCAGCTTGAGTGTCATTCCAGACTTCATTACCTCATTAGAAGCTTTGCCAAAGCCTATTCTCAGAGTCTTCATCACAGTGCAAAGTTGCTTGTATATCTAGATGTAGAAAGGTGGGAAAAATCCAAATATGGCCAGTATAGGAATTTCTTTTGTGAAAGTGAAAAGTGAATCCCTCACCGCTCAAATTTTTTCTCAGTTCTACAGTTATAAAATAGAGATTTCTTAATTTCTTTTAAAAAAATCTAAATATACTCACAGGGTGAATCAACTTCTACAGTCCTCCCAGTTAATTTTGGCCATGAATCACATGGTGGTAACAGATTTAACATAACTCTCATCTAGCTAGAAAATGACACTAACTTTGTTATTTTAAATGAGAGGCACATATTTTTATTGTAAAGTTCGATTCTAGTGCTTATTTTATGCCACTTTTACTGAAAGGAAAATTTTGTTAGGATTAACCATTTCTGTGATATGCCTGACAGAAGATGCGTTAGGGGGTATGCTTTTTGCAACTTATTCGGGGAGGGCCATCTTGTTTAGTATGCCATTAGAGGTGAACTTGGATTCATCAGTCCATATGTATAGAAGAACATTTTTCTGATTTAACTCCACTTGACTATTTTCTGTGGATCCATTTAAAAAACAATGTCTATACTCAGTAACCTCAGTTGAAGACCCATGGCAAAGGATAAAAAATGGTTGTCAATCCGTCTCCCCTGACTCTATCGCTCTGAGCACCGGTGAAGAGTAGTTAAAAAGAACAAATTGATAAATGAAAGAAAAATTAAAAAATAATGTAACGGTAAAAAATTATAAGAAAACAGAAGAGAGAAAGAATAAGGGAACTTAACCTTCTGGCTCTCGGTAGGCAGGCGTTGAGGAGTTGCAAACTTCGGGCCTGAATCCCACTGCTCCCTTTGTTGCTTTGCCATGATATTCCAAGGACAGTGGTTTGGAGAGAGAGAGAATGTTGACGAATGAGAAAGATTTTTTAGGTAGATAATTGAGAGAATAGCTCACACAGGGAACACTTCAGAATAACAGCAACGAGAGACCGAATACAAATCTCTTCTGGTTGAGGCAGAATGAAAAAACAAATACAATTAGGAAGTTGCAGTACAAAGTTCATATGAAACTCATAACGTTGTAACACTTATGAATGTGAACAACCTATTAACAATTGTGTCACTTAATTTTTAATGTGATATCTCAAGTAGAAGAAACTTATTGTATACTTTATGGAGCTAAATAAATAATAAAAACCTAACCTAACCTATAAAACTAACCCTAACCATACTTAACCTAACCCGTCCCTAGCCTTAACCTAGCTTTAATGCTAAGTAAATCATCCCTAACCTTAAATAGGTAGATAATTGTGTTTCATTTACAGAATACAAATTAAATTTCCTTTTGCTTTTAAAACATACACAAACTAAGGAGAAAGCAAATACTTTCTGTAACTATACTATTTTGAAAAACTTGCTAACACATTCCAATTCCCTTTGTTTAACCATTCTGGAACAGAAAATATGTGAGGCTTTCTTGGAACCATTTTACCCTGAATTATTTCAATAGGGGGGTCACTAGCCAATAAAATGTTGCATACTTTGCTCTATATTTACACAGAGCAATTTACTGACCTTCATCATGCCACAGTTTCAAATTCAGTTTTAAAAGCTCACAGCAGTTTTAAAAAAGTTGAACTTCAAGAAAACCGGTCCATTTTATCTTCATTTAAGTATGAGCTGTCCCTTCCCGTTGTGGTTGTTTATAGAGGGTATGGTATTTACAGTTTCTGGCTTTTTCTTCAAAACAATGCTTCTAGACTAGCTCAATGCTATGTATAATGTTATCATGTATAGTTTCCTTCAAGGAAGTGGAATTTATTTCTGAAGTGATATGTTTTAGTAGTATGTCCTTTATATACCTATACAACTTTAGATACTCCTAATACCTTAATAATCCTATAGACACCAGAAAACCCTAACCCTGACCCTGCCTAGTCTAACCCAACTTATGCACACTCCCTTGTTTTGTAAAAAATGTCACGTGAAAGAAGTGTACATCCAGCCCAAAAACATATCCATCATATACTTTTTTTTAGAATCCTAATTGCTTTGGTCAAAAACCATTGGAATAAATATCATTAACGAGTTTGTTATTGAAGATAAGAAATATTTTATTTGAGAAATAGGCAAATTATAAATGAATTTAAACACAATTTAAATATGATAATTTTCATAGTGGTTTCCATAGCAACATTTTTTTAAAACTTAACATTCAAAATTTTCAGTGTTGACACAACCAATTATGACTTTCAAATTTCCATACTTCACACACTAGATTTGCCTCAAATTTCTACTAATTATACTATGAACCAGATAACACTATAAAGTAACAAAAGATATAAACAAATAAATATGTCATCAAATAAAGGTACTCACAGGCATTTTGTCAACACAAAAAACATACAATATAGAAGGAGTAATGAAAATTCACAAGGAGGTGAAAAGGGTGGTCACATTACATCATATAGAAAGGATTACGATAAAGGAAACAAAGACCAGAGACATATACACCCACTTGTGCCTAATAAAGAAGACTATGATGGACAAAAGAAAATGGTTTTCATAGGTAAATTACATTTACTAAATAAATATCATCTTGTTGAAGCAACTCGAGAACCTTCTAACCGCTTCCCAAAAATGTCAATTAAATGTGATAAACCTATTAAACAAGCCAGAGGTGGTCGCAATGTTTCAAAGGAAAAGGATTCTAAAGAGAAGTCACCAGATGTTAATACCTCTCCGAACAGTCGTCCTCCAGTTGTAAATGAATCTAATCAAACAGAACAATTATCAGACGTTACAAGTAAAAAGAATCCTCAAGAAACAGATCATGTGCCAATCCCAGAAAAAACACCTCAGAAAAAAGACAATGGGGAAACATCGGAAGCAGTCGCTACAAATTTGCATAACAACGTAAATGTGAGTAATGAAGAAACACCGTGTTCTTCAGGGTTGCAAGCAGTGCCAAAGAAATCGAACGATCAAGCGAATCCAGAACAGGCTACTGAAAAAAAATATGAAAATGGAAATGAATCGCCTAAACGTGTAACCTATTTAAAAAACAAGAAGCTCCCTCAACCGAAATTTCTTCCAACAGGTTCACTGAATTTACCAGGATATGGAAAATGTAAAATTAAAAGATGTCCAACTCCTATTCCGATGGACGTCATTCCTTTATCTGGCTTAGCTGATGAAGCATACAAACCAATGACTTTAAGGAAAAGCCAAATGAAAAACACTGATTCATTTGGGGTACAAGGGAATTCTCCTAGCCTCTCACCTCCTACAGTAGCCAGCAACGCACACAGTTCTTTTGTACATAGCTATTGCAGATTCAAAAACCCTTCATTCATAGCAAGCAAGAAGTACAAAATACCAAGTGAAGTATTAGAACCGTTATGCCATTCAAAACTTAAATTTCTTAAAGATGAAGATTCGATAAGTCCTGTTGTAAAACCGTTTCCTAATACAAATACAAGAAACCCTGATGATATAGCGAAAGAGATGGATTCTTTACCAAAGGAAATGTTAAAAGAAAGTTGCAACTCGAAGATAGCATTCATGGTGAATATAAACAATAGTGTAGAAGCACCTCCGATTCCTCATCTTAATGAAAATGTAAATCCATCGTCAAGACGGGAAACATTTTATACACTAAATGCGACTCTGAAATCTGTAAACACCATGACTCCATTGAGGAGTGCTGATATAGTCAATAACATCATAAAATCGCTGTCACACACAAATGTAATGTATTCTAAAGTTCTGCCGAGTAAAAATGACATTACAATGATGGAAACAAAGTTGCAGAGACAGTGTGATTACCTGGGCAAAACAGTGACAAAAGACAATGGCACTGAAGATGTTTTAAATAATTGTAGGACTAATGAAGCAATGGGCACTCAGCATGTATGTTGTGAGCAACACGGCGCAGGGATAAAAAAAACTATCGAACCAAAAATAAATCCTTTTCAACCAAATACTGCTGCTGCTAACAACATACTTGAGGCCCTTTTGAAAACCAATATTACATCAGACAACAAAAAACCCAATTTGACTTCTAGTAAAAGTGACTCTTCATTACCCAAGTTGAGAGATTATTATGAATCCGAATCGCCCACCAAGGCATTAAATATACAAAAAGTGGAAAGTAGATGTTTACTAAATAACTGTGGACCTAAAACATGTTGTTCACATAATCCATTAGAAGAACCAAGTGCTATATTTTATGATCTGTATCAAGGGGCATATAAAAGATCACCTGAGGCAAGTGTAATAGAGTTCTCCCAGATGCCTGTTAAATCTCCCAACTTGAAACCAAATCCACCACTGGAAAATGTTATCCCAATTCAAGAACTGCAAAATTCAGGTCGTGTTTTTGACACATTTCCTTCAACTTCGAGTAACCACAATTTCCTACAGTGGCCGAACGTTGGTCATTGTGCGGTACCTTCATGGATACCTTTTAGAATGTCTCCAGCAAACGTGACCGACGATCCAGCAGTCAACTGTCCAACTTCGTCCAATCAAAGATCCGTGTCAGAAACTTATGTTAATAAAGAGCATATGCTATTGCTGTCAGCCTTAGGACCATATGTTGATCAAGAGGCAATTCAAGGAAATGCAGTTTTGGGGCCACATGGGTTTTATCTTGGAAAAATAATAGGGAGAGGTGCTTTCTCAATTGTTAGGGTAAATATAAAAAAATAATTTGTACAAAAATATAGAACAGTATAAAATTAAAATATAACCAAATAAAATTCATTGTTTGAAACGGTTTGTAAAATGTGAGCACGGACTGTACTTTTAGATTGTAGCACTCATCTAAATGAAAAGAATTTACAGATTTTTGAACTTTTGGTCTATTTTATTTATAAAGCAATGATGTATCAGGTGGTAATGATGTTATTGTATAGGAAAATCAGAAATATAAACTGTATAAAGGATGGGACCAAGAATGTTCCTTTGTGAGACACCTGCTATAGTTTTGAATTTTTTTCCATTGTTGGTGATGAAGCCTGGTTCATCACAAAAAAAAAAAAAACTGTCAATGCTAATAAGGAAAACCTAAGGCCAATAACATACAAAGAAGAAAAGTGCTTTGTTAATCAAGTTTGAAGAAAATTACCAAACAAAATCATCAGTAGTCATATAAAAATGAAGAGGTGGTTAAAATAACAATTAAATAATCAACCTTTTATGTGCAGACCATATAATTGGAACCATGGTCTCATTGCATATAATTATTTGTGCAATAAATATTAACATTACAATTTTATTTATTACAGAAAGTTAATGGATTTGTATGGTTTTTTCTTTTCATGCAGGTCGCTGTTTCAAAGAAGCACAATTTTCAAAGAGTCGCTGTGAAAATTATTGCAAAATTTCAAGCACCAGACGAATTGATAAAAAAGTTTCTTCCTCGAGAAATCTGTGTAGTAAAGGCTTTGACACACAAAAACATTATTCGGTTTTTAGCCACGATTGAAAGCACACACAGGTATATTTATATTTAATTAGATCTAAAACAACCACATGTGTAATAAATTACATATCTTTTACTCCTACTTTTAAGTTTTAATTCCTAAAAGCTTGTTTCTCATTAATGATATTACATTAGAGTATATCTGGTCATGGAACTAGCTGAAGCCGGTAATTTATTACAATTTTTGCGAAGACATGGAAGAGTGACTGAATTAAGAGCAAAAGCCTGGTTCCAGGAACTAACATCAGCAGTACATTATTGCCATCAGAATGGTGTCGTACACAGGTAACAATTATAATTATCAGTTTTTAATCATTTGATGTTTAACAATTTCTTTCCAGGGATATCAAATGTGAGAACATTTTATTTGACTTAACCGGATGCGTCAAACTATCTGATTTTGGATTCGCTAAGACTGGGATATTTGAAGTGAATGGAATTGCGCCAACCAGTCATACATTTTGTGGAAGTTATGCGTATGCCTCACCAGAAATTCTACGCTTATCCACATACCAGCCTCTGTTAGCAGATGTATGGTCAATGGGTGTTGTCCTATGGGCCATGGTTTATGGCAAGCTTCCTTTTGATAGTTCCAGTTATTCAAAATTACTTAAGGTGAACATGCTTTATTGAAAATATTAGTTTAGTTAAACAGTATCTTTTAAGTTATATGATAAAACAGTTGTATTAAATATTTACTCACTATTGAGTGAAGGAGGAATATTGAATACTCCATCGCCCTTTCTTCGAGTAGGATGATAGAGTGCTATTTCTCCTTCAATCAAGCAGGGCTATGGAGTACTCAATATTACTCCATCACCCTGACACATATAAACAACTACAACAAATACACAAACTAGTCTAATTGACGGTCGATTGGAGTACTTATTGACACTCTTGTACTATACACATTCACGCTTATAAATGCATTCTCACAAAATAGTGGACCCAAAATATATCCACCATCACACTTGTATATATAATAATAAGATTAACTGCAATAAAAAATCTATATGTTCAAAGATACCCAAAATTGGTACATTTGGGTAACACCCTTCATGCTCTCTATGTAGGAGTTCATTTAAGTAGGACACAGTGAGCAACCTTTCTTTGCATGCCGGACACATTTGCTGACTTTTTCCCAAGGTGTTCGTGGGTCAACCACGTTGGCCAATTATCCTTCTTCTTTTTTGGGGGCCACAGGCATCTTCTAGAATGACCAGGTCCCCTGATTCACGTTTTCTTTATCGGGAGATTTCCTCCTGTGGTCTACATGTTGAAGAACTTGTTTGGCCATTATCGATCATCCTAGTCTGCTTATCCTTGTTGTATCGGCCTGCCAGACATGTTTCGGCATTTGGCTATCTTCACAGGTCCAACACAGTGAATATATGTACTAGGCACACCAGGAGGACCAGTACTTTATAATTTTATATAAACGATGAGGTAGGATGATGCCAGTTACAAAGAAAAACACTCAGTTCTTTCACTAAGTCATCGTTGAATGTATCCTCTTCATTATATAATCTAAATTCATTAATTATAGTTTGATAGTCCTGATGAAGAAGATATAACATAGTAACTCAGCATTTTTCTTTTTAATTAACCCCAACCTTGATCGTCTTTTAATGTGAAACAAATTTACTCTAGTTTTGTTTTCAGGTTTAACTTTTAACTTATATTATACAAATTTAAACAGTGGCATTTTTTTCAGCAAGTGGAAACTCCAATAGTATTTCCTCAAACTCCTTCGATTTCTAAAGAATTACAATCCTTAGTCAAACAAATTTTTGTACCTGAAGCGACAAGATTAAACATACAAGGAGTCGCTTCTGATCCATGGCTTGTTAATTTGAAAGTAGAAACAAAAGTGGTTGAAAATACTGCCAGCCCACTTCAAACCAAACTTCCAACAGCTAGCGACAAACCGAAACCTGCAAATTCCGGGCAAATGCCAGCCCAAAGTCCCAGTCGGAAAGTTATAAGTCCTGTAAAAGAACTTCCACCAGTCAGTAATGCCAAACGTGTTGTAGTGTCTCGGAAAATTTCTACTGAAAATAATAACAAATCAGTGCCTATTCATCATACTAAAATAATTGGTTCTAAGCCTGCATCAAACGTTAAAAAAGTTTGCTTAGGAAGAGTCAATGGGAGACCTGTACTTGCGAATGTACCATCGGATCATAACAGTTCAGTAAGCTCAGCGCTAAATTCAGAAGGCACAGAAATATCTCTTGATTCATTTCCTTCTGTGATATTAGCAAATGGTGCTAATTACTCTCCTTTTCCAACACCTATGAGGTTTGTGACGGGAAGAAAACACAAGTCTGTTCCAACTCGTATAAAATCTCCAAAACCGGGATGCAGCTTCAACAAGGTTTTCATGTCAAAATCGCCAACAGCAAAAGCCTCGACAAAATATAAACAGTATCCTTCATCACCATTGATGCCTATAGAACCTGTAGCACCAACTGTAACAGAATCGATTAAAGCAGGAAAAAAAATGTACTCAAGAGATCCATCCCAAAGCCCTACTTCCTCTCCAACAGCAAAATTCACCGGTTATCCAGCAGATGTTGCAGAGCTCAAGCCTTCTTCAAGAGGATCGCAGAAAAAAAATCGTCCTAAAAAAGATGCACGTTCACCATTAGTGCATATACCGTATCCTGTAATAATACCAGAGCAAAAGATTGCAAAAAAAGCAAGTAAACAGACGTTGCCTGTTGTCAAAGTACCAAAGGGACTGGCTAAAAAGTCTTGCAGGCGATCTGTATCTCCAGCTAGAGGGAAATCGACTGGTGAGAATGCATTAAATAAACCGGACATTGCAGTCAGACCAGTAAATGAAGGACCTAATCAAGTCGCTCTGCACAAAGAGTCAAAATTTATCGCGATACCTAGTTATCATCGGCACTGGTATAAAATCAAAGCCCCTGTAAACCAAGCATTGTTGCACCAACCGAATCAAGCCGACCTCTCGGAGCAAACTGGACAACTTGATCTTGGAGTATGTGTTCGCACGTTATTGCCTCACCTTGTTAAGCCAAAAGTATGATGTCACCATACATGAGGTCTTTTGTTTTTTTTTCTGCTTTTACACTGACTCTTGCAATTTTCACATAGTACACAATAGCAATAATAAATTATTTTGATACTTAATGTTGTTCTCTTAAAAAATTAATTATTCTACTATACTATAGTTTTAAAATGAGTGTTCCGAGCTTCAACAAGCCTCGAAAAGGAGTACTCCCATTTCCCAAAATACATATAGTCATCGAAGAAAGAGGTTGTGAAATTCAATTAATACCGAGAAAGAAAGAGTGAAAGAGAGAGGAAGATAGATAGATGAAGACAAAGTGAGAGAGCGGGAAAGAATGAGAGAGACATTAATTCTATACAAATTTGCATATAGTAATTTGATCAAAAAGATAAAATTGAACTAAGTCTCAATTTAGAAACTGAGAGAATAAACAAAATAAAATAGAAAATGTTTGTATTTGTACGAAATTTATTGTATGTACATACTTAGGAAACAGCGTGGAAAAATGAAAAACAACTTTAATTTACAAAAATTATATTGATTTCTTACATTCTCACCTAAAATATATTATACAAATTTGAGGATGATTCATTCCTCTATTTAGGAAAAACCAATTTACATAAATTCAATATATAATACACTAATGTCTCAATTTCTTTTAAATCTAAGCATAAAAATTTTATTTGACAATTTAAAAAAAAATTAATACATCAAAAAGTAAAATATTTACACGCATAACCTTCAAATGGAAAAAAAATTAAATCGGTAAAAAAAGATAAATTAATTCACTATGTACAGTCAATTTTAGAAGTAAAATAAATAACATCTGTTGATAGTAAACATTTTATTAAAATTTTGTAAGTTCTTTTTTCATTCAATCACCACTCACAGCAAGAGGATCAACCAGGTCGGGTAAAACTCCATTTCCCTGCAAAATGATGATGCTCAAATTAATAGCATACCTAATTCAATCAATACATGACATGTTTCTAAATAAATGTATTTATTAATTTATCAATTTTTTAAATCGGGATTTGCAACTAAGCAGTCATATCGACCCCATTTTTGTTTTTAAATAATCATCATTCAGTTTAAGTAACAGCTTGTATTGATGCTGGGTATTCCTCAGTTCTGCACTGAAGATGGCCCAATGACAAACTCATTTGAATAATTCCAACCAAGGAAAACAATTAATTAAAAATAGTGATAAAAAAAAGAAATAAATATAATACCTCTATCATCAGAGAAGGTTCTAAATCAGCTGTCGCTATATGTGTAGCATTCGCTACAGCCAATCCTTGTAGTCTCCCTCTTAACAGAGTATGTGAATGCTGTTGAGGTTGTAACTCTTCTCTGTAAAATAATAAATTTCCATTTTAATTATACATTTTAAATTGTCGATAATGGTGTGGACATAGAAAAACAATAATCATAAGCATATACAACCAGATGTTAATTTTTGTTAAATTAATATGGCTGAGGGTGTAGGCCTACAACCTACTCTAATAGAAAGGCCATGTCAAATAACATAATAAATGATACAAAATTTGCAAGAACATTTTTAAACAAATATAACATTTTTAACATGGATATTTTCTTAGGGCATGTTCATGGACTAGGTTAGGTTAGGTATAGTTAGGGTTAGGGCTTAGGAACAGGGTGGTTAGGGGCTAGGGACAGGTTAGGGAAAGATTAGGCTAGGGGTTGGAGACAGGTTAGGTTAAGGGGTCAGAGACAGATTAGGTTAGGGGGTTAGAGAGAGGGTAGATAAGGGGCTGGGGGCAGGTTAGGTTAGGGGGTTAGGAAGATGTTAGGTTAAGGGGTAAGGGTGTGGTTAAGTACAGGTTAAATTTTTGGGTTAGAGTGAGGGGTTTGGGTGGGGGTTTATAAATAATACTATACTATAAGCACAACCCAATAGATAACGTCAGTGTCCAGCACAACTGATGGCGAAATGCTCACATGTCAAGGAAGAATTCAGTTACAATTAAACAGGTTTATCAGTTCACAATATTTTACTGGATTTGAGTTTTTAAATATTTGTTTGCAAATTTATTGTACCTAGTTACTGCTGAAAGTGAAATTACCAATCAGTTTTTGTTTATTAATTATTTTAATTAATTATATTTTTAATCTAAGGTCTTGGTTGAGATGAAAAGGTCATGGGTACGAATCCCACTCATGATGCTTGTTTGTTCATGTCAACCAAGACCTTAAATTAAAAGTAAAATTAATTAAAATTACAATTAATGTTAAACTCACCTTTCTTTTAATTTTTTGACAGAGCCAGAATGGAATCTTCCTCCTTCACCCCTAATTCTATTCATTGCGTGTTTATGCCTGGATTCATGAAGATATTTCTATAAATATAATAAAATGTAATTAATTCAAACCTCAGGCTAGTATTTTACATCAGTTATATTATTTTTACCTGTCTTAACTTTGGTATTCGCCCTTGAGCTTCCAGTTTAGCCCTAGCCTGTCTTCTTTTCAAAATACGCTTATACTGTTTTGCGTTTACGTACAAAGGCTCCTCTTCTAGCAATTCAGCAGTGCTCACTGGAAGTCTGAATTGTGATGTGCTTCCGTTGCGGTCACCAACCATCTGGGAAATAAATGGTTTCATTTAATAAACTAATTTTTTTCAGTATTGTAATAAAAGTAAAAAAAGACGGATCATAACATTAATATATACAAAACATACCATTAATACATTTTGGGGTGAACTTGAAGTACTTGAAGATGTGCTAGGCACTTGAGCTGGTTGAACAGGGCTAACCGATGGAGCTGCAGCTGCTGGGGCTGCAGCAGCAGTAGAAACAGTTGCAGCTGGTGAGTTGGTTAATTGAACTAGATTGCCATGGACGCTGATTACTAAAAAAAGAATAACAAATGATACCAATTAGACAAATACTGCCACATTATTTTATAAAAAAACACATAAACGAGACACGCCCGAACACACATTAAAATAATTTTCAAACTTTTAAAATACATATTTTGTTAGAGTGATTTTACTTAATTTAATAATATTTATTATTATAATTACAATTGTAATTTGGCCATTGCTTGATCATCTATCCTTGCTGAAATGAACAGATGGACCAAAATGATCCACCTATCAGACAGCATGGATAAATCAAACAATAATTAAAACTACTTACATGTAGGTTGTGTCGTAGTGGCAATAGTAGGATTTTCAAGCTGTACAGGTTGATAAATGTATGTCTGACCATCCGGTGTTTGAAGGATTTGAGCATGAGCTGGCTGAACAATTAATTGTCCATTAGCACCCTAAAATAATTCAAATTTACATATAAATATTATTATGTAATTTAGAAAAATGTACTTGATAAACAATACATAGTTTTCTTAGTTGCCATACCTGAATTGCAGGTAAAGGTAGCACCTGAAGCTGACCAGGAGCAGCAAGCTGTATTGCCTGGCCATTTTGAGGTACTTGGTGCACAATTATTTGCTGTCCGTTGGCACTTGGAATAACTTGCCCAGTCTGCAATACCTAAAACAAAAACAATGAAAAATAAATTATTAAACAAAATAAACCAGTTGATTTGTGGTTTCTAAATCTCCTTTGAAAACTTACATTTTCCATTGCATCACTAATTTTTTTCTATTTCAAACCAACTTGTTCTGAATAAAAACCTGAATAAAAACTATCCATTCCACGTAGTTGAATTAGATAGTTTTAACAAATTCCTATTAACTGCAACACTGAAATAGATTTATAGAATTAAAATCTAGTCGAAAATGAATTAGTGAACAGTTGTACCTTGTCCCGCCAACTCTTGTGCTTTCCCAAACAGAAATGTTTTGACATGTACTAACAGTACTGCTTCCTACAAAAAGAAGAAAAAATAAAGATAAACAATCACTAATTTTATTCAACTGAAGAATATGTGACCAATGTAAAATTATATTCTAGTTTAAAAACTTTTCTATCTACAAAGTGAATGGATGATTATTTAAATGTTAATAAAATAGAAGCACCTTTTGGAGGGATCCCATGGAAAAAAAAATAAAAATAAAAATATGGTGTAAGAATCTTGCAGATAATTTTGAAGCTTTATTTTTTCTTACCTGTCAAGTCTTTCGTTCATGACACATGATGTTTTTGATAACATTTGAGTCAATTTTTTACCATTTATCCATTACTCTTAGAAAGCTGATGTTTATTTTTTTATTATATTTTTTTAAATTATATTATTTTTCTCAAAAGTTCAGAGGTTGATCAAGTTATGCCATCAAGTATAAGCTGCAGAAATAGAAAGTTCACAAGTTCCTAAATCTCCTTTGAAAATAAGATGGGAAGTTGGTGTCCGAGGGGAACGAAGTCACAATAGCTCAAGTTGTTAGAACAGCGGCATATTGAGCCGAAGGTTGTGGGTTTGAATCCCGCTCGTGATACTAATTTTTCATTCAACTAAAAATCTTAGATAAAAAAATAATTAATTGGAATAATTAATATGGTCAATTATGACCACTAATCAAATATGGATTAATTTAATAATTAAAAGAAGTATTTACTTCACTAACAGCTCATCGTGGCCACTTCATAAGAGAGCTGAGAATTGAATCCTGGCTACATGACAGTTGAAAATATGGCAAAAAGAGGGAAAATTTGAACGGTTGTAGGTTGAGATGAGGAGTTCGTGTCTGAGGGGATCGAAGTCACAATAGCTCATGTTGTTAGAGCAGCGGCATATTGAGCCAAAACTCGTGGGTTGGAATCCTGCTCATGACACTAATTTTTCATCTCAACCAAAAACCTTAGATAAATAGAATAAACAATTAATTGTAATAGTTAATAAGCTCAATTATACCAATAAGCAAATTAAGATTAATTTAAAAATAAGGTTTGTCATATAATATTTGCTCAAAAATATACCAGTTCACTCCTCCACTATTTTCAAAATAATCTTATTATGTCCATGGAATATCGCACGATCAGAGACAAACTGTGGACAAAAATAACTGTTTTGTTGGACAGCAAGGTTAACCTGGTAGAAAAATTATTTAAACAAAAAGTCTGATACTAACAAGGGGATTTTTTTTTGGAAAACGGGCCTTTTCATAAGAAAGGCATCATATTTTCGAGTGTAGAATCACTACTAGTTTTACAACTTTATCATCTTTTGAACTAACAAAACTCCAACAAAAGAGAATTTACACAATAACACAATTTAAAAATGTGTGGTGTTTAATTGACCGTTAATTAATGATTATTTGGGAATCGTGAGATGCGGTCTGGTGTGATGTAGGTTTCAGAAAAACATTTTCTTTATCGTGCCAACGTTTTGATCTTTGTTGAGATCATCTTCAGGGCCTGGGATTTATAAACACAGTTTAAATTATACAAATACATGTAAGATGTGAAAAAATGAATTTAGACAACGATAGAAAATTTTGGACTCAATCAAAATCAAGTGAGTACAAATACTTTGAGTCTAAAATTGCTATCATTGTCTAAATTCATTTTTCACATCTTACATGTATTTGTATAATTTAAACTGTGTTTATAAATCCCAGGCCCTGAAGATGATCACAATGAAGATTGAAAAGTTGGCACGATAAAGAAAATGTTTTTCTAAACCTATGTCACACCAGACTGCATCCCACTATCTCCAAAAAATAGTTAAAAAATTATTATTAATTGTGAAAAAAGTTGATTGTGGGTTCGATTCTCACCATAGCCACTGGTCTTTTTTTTCCGCAATACCCCTTCCCCATTAATATAACGCATCGTCAAATGCTCATCTTCCTTGGGTAATATGCTATGTTTATAAGGCCATAAAAAAAAGATTAAATAAGACTGTTAAATAAATATGTCTTTAGCAAAAACAATATTTAAAAAATTATTATTAATTGTCAATTAATTAAGGTTTTTAGTTGAGATGAAAAAAAGTTAATGGCACGAGAGGGATTCGAACACATGACCTTCGGTAGATACGCCGCTGCTCTACCACCTGAGCTATCGTGACCTCGATCCACTCGGACACCAACTCCCCATCTCAACCCCACCCTATGAGTTTTCCCTCCTTTTGCCATTTTTCAAATGTCGTGTAATCGGTTTGATTCTCGACGACAATTGAAGTCTTGTATTAATTGGTCAAGCGGACCACGAAAGTAGTGAATTGATGATTTAAAACTGAAGTTCACTTCACTAAAGCTCTCCGTCGCCATTTCAATTGTCGTCGAGAATCCAAACCGATTACACGACATTTGAAAAATAGCAAAAGGAGGGAAAACTCATAAGGTGGGGTTGAGATGGGTAGTTGATGTCCGAGTGGATCGAAGTCACGATAGCTCAGGTGGTAGAGCAGCGGCGTATCTAGCCAAAGGTCGTGGGTTCGAATCCCTCTCGTGCCATTAACTTTTTTTCATCTCAACTAAAAACCTTAATTAATTGTCATGTATTAATTGGTCAAGCAAACGACGAAAGTAGTGAATTAATTATTAATTGTTAAATAAGATGAAACCAAAAGAGTCAGCAAGTTGAATGAACAATTTGAATAATTCTAAAAATTGTTTGTATACTGTATAAATTATTAGCATTTAGTATAAATTATTAACATTAAGAGCAATGTTATATATAAAATTTTGTTTAAAAAAGTTAGTATAACAAACAAAATTAGTTAGAAGTGTTAGGAATACTAAACAACTACAGGAATTATTAAAAAGTTAATTAAAACGAAAACTGACAGTTGTATTGATATAGTATATTTGCAAAAACTTTCCTACTTGAAAAAAATTTCTTTAAAAAAATGCAATCGTTTTACTTTTTTAAGTTTAAATGAACAGCTTAACATTAAACGTAAACTACCGTAAAATGGAATAAGTAGGCTATTAATAATCGAGCCATCGTTCCTGTTGGTACACAGATAATACTAATGCATAAGTAAAAAAGATTGATAAATTAGATACTCTTTATTCCTGAAGAACAGAAATATTTCAAAAAATAAATCTTTCTTTGATAGCATAATCCCATAAATCTGAAACACAGAAAAAAAAACCCTACTTTTATTACTATCACCAATTGGATGCATATACAGTATAAATACTAATCTAATTAGATTCATAAAAAGAAAATATATATTAAAAAATCCACACAATAGTTAAATTTTAAATTATGCTTGCACTAAGATATTTTTTATTTAAAATAATATCTATTTAGATATTACCATAAAATGATTATGAATTAATGGAAAAACAGAATTATAATTTATCCTATTCAAATAATTAAATGAAAACTACTTTATAAGTTGACAATAAATTCTTCTGTAAAGGTTTTTGTATATTTTACACTTTTTCCCACTATATTTAAACCTAATGACCTGAATTTTAAATTTGTGTTATGAAGTGATAGTCACTCAGCTTCATGTTCATTTTTTTAAATTCATCGGTATACTATTGTCAATAAAATTTTAACCTAGTTAACCATCGCCGCAACGGTTTAGGAATTGACATGGCACTCATCACTAAGGTAAGGTAAGGTCCCAGGTTGGAATCCAGTGGTCCGGCATTCGAATCCGACATACTTATGAATTGCCTTTTTTTCAAAAACACCAGCACGAGGGTTCATATGACCTTTGATGTTGAAATCCCTCTCTGAGGGAATTAAACCACTTCCACTACTATATTAATTTATTTATAGGTTTATTGCAACTCTATGGATTTATGGTTTTTGAAAAGGTTGTAGTACAAATATATACAGCAGACTCTTGTTATCCATAGGGGATATGCATCAAGCATTACCACGCACAATAGGAAACACTTCGAATTTCAGGCTTTAAAGCATTTTCTTCTATCTGCATACTAATCAAGACATTTTCTGTATCACGTCTGCCTATCATCAATGTTGTGCACAAATTTATGAAGAAGAAAAATACAAAGTATGGTAACATACATAGAGTTTATTCCACGAAGGAAAAAATTACGTACATATTAATCCATTTATGTTTTAGTGGTCAATTGACCAAGTTACTTCTTTAAATTAATTATTCTTTCTATGTAAGGTCTTGGTTGAGATAAAAAGTCAGTGTCACAAGCGGGATTCGAACCCACGACCTTCGGCTAAATACGCTGCTGCTCTACCACTTGAGCTATCGTGGCTTCGATCCTCTCGGACACCAACTCTCCATCTCAATCTACAACCATTCTTATTTTCCCTCTTTTTGCCATTTTCAAATGTCGTGTAATCAGGATTGGATTCTCAGCGACTTATGAAGTGGCCACGGGGTGCTGTTTAGTGAATTGATACTTATTTTACTTATTAAATATTAATCCATTTACATTTTAGTAGTCAATTGACCAAGTTACTTCTTTCAATTAATTATTCTTTCTATATAAGGTCTTGGTTGAGATAAAAAAAAAGCCAGTGTAACAAGCGGGATTCGAACCCACGACCTTCAGCTAAATACACCACTACTCTACTACTTGAGCTATCGTGACTTTGATCCTCTCAGACACCAACTCCAATTACCAACCAATTATAAACATACTTACATCACCACGTAGGCACCTATCCTCAACATCGAATCACAACACTATCGTAAACTTAAATAACTGATTTTGAAATCTGAGGAAATGTTGAATCACAAAAATGAATATTCACACTGTTTTTTAATATTTTCCGGATGGATGACTTATTTTTGCTGTAAAGTTTAGAAACTTCTATGCACGAGAGTCTACTGTATTGGTCATTTAGGTCAACAAAAGTGGAATACACTATCACCAAATTTTAAGGAATCAACAATGTAACTCAAAATAACAATAAAATTAAAAATAATTATGCGTTTAATGTAGGCCAGTTTGTTTACTCTTTGATTAAAAGACAAACTTTCTTTAGAACCAATTTATTATGACTCAATACCCAGGAATAGCAAAGAAAATGTTAATGAAGTAGAAAAACAATGAATATTGAAACCATAACTCAGCAATGGGATTTTCTTTATCGTAACGTCACAACTCTGCCTATTTAAAGTTTCCCTGTTCCATCTTCTTTATGAGGGTTTTCTGAATCGACCTGCGCATTGTTTTTTTCACTACAATATTCATAAATTTTTTTCTTCTGTTGTTTACTTCTTTACTACACTTGGACACACACAAGTTTTCCTTATTTATTTTTCAGTTCAACCTTCAACCACGGTTAAAATTACATTACAATTTTTTTTTAAATTTAATGTTCTTATTTCAGCTTAAACGTTGATAGCGAATGTTATTTATGTACATTCTGCATTTTTTTAAATTAAATTCTAAAAGCATCGCTGTAGTTTGAAAATAAGCATTTAAATAATGAACTTCTAATGAATCAGGACAAAACAAAGTGTTGAAACTCCAAAATAAAGGGTTAAAAATAATCTTATCTTTCACTATGTAAATTAAATTATAAAGATGATAAATTCAGAGAAAAAAAGCTATATTTATTTTTGTTTATGCATTTACGTAAAATATATATAGTATACAAATTAATGTGTGGTGGTTAGTGAACGTTAATCGATAATTATTCATAAATCGTGAGATGCGGTCTGGTTCACGATTTCTGAATAAATACAAATTAATTATTGGATATACATATACTGACACTTTAATATCACTGACATTTACTATAAAATAAAAATTTAAACTTCTTGAGGCAGAAATAAACAATCCAAGGTTTTTAAGCACATATGCGCATAATGTTTAAAAAATAAAAGGTCCACATAGAAGGTATAAAAAAATAATATAAATTTAGAAATTATATTAACATGTTATACTCATAACGATTTCAAAAATTTTGAAACATGTGAGGTCAAAAGCTAACATTTCATCAGTGTTGTTTTCATAGAAACCCTATGTAACTGGTTAAAACGGAAAGTCTCCATTCAATCATGGAACACTTAATAATGCTTTGGTTATTTCTTTTCTTGTGTTTATTTTATGTACTGTGTATGTATTACACATTTCATTATTGTACCATGCTGGCACATTTCTACCTTTATACAATTCGGTAGACAAAAATATAGTATCAACCAGCATTTGAACTGTATCTATAACAGATTGAGTTGAATTTTAAATATAGAAAAGATGAGAAAAACAAAATTTGAGAAGATGGGGAGAGTAATGAATGAATTATCCATTGTAATTGAGTCAATACGGAACAAAGTGGTCATAATTCCAGAAAAAAGTTCATAATTAATAGTATAAGGAGTCTCATTTCTAAAAATGTTTAATTGTCATTTCTTGCGATTGTTAAGTTTGTTTGTCCTCTGAGAGAGACCAAAGCTGAATATCCAAAGGAAATTATCTATTGACATTGTAACTTAGTGTAACGCAGAAAAAAATACCACTAATTTGATTAATTTTAATTTCCACCCCAAAAAATGGCCATTTCTAATAATAATTATTTAAATTAATTAAGGTTTTTAGTTGAGATAAAAAATTCAGTGTCACGAGCGGAATTCGAACCCACGATCTTCTGCTAGATACACCGCTGCTCTACCACCTGAGCTATCGTGACCTCGATCCACTCGGACACTTTTTATCTCAACTAAAAACCTCAAATCCCGCTCGTGACAGACTTTTTTTACCTTAACTAAAAACCTTAATTAATTGAAAGATATTAATTGGTCAAGCGGACCATGAAAACTAGTGAATTTAATAACAATTATTGTGGAATAATCGTGTGTTTGTTTGGTCAATGCAAAGTTCATTATTGTGATGTACAAACTCAGTCATGAGAGGAAAAGAAAATTTGAAAATACATGGGACAACCTCAAAAAGTACATGGGACAACCTGAAAGTACATGCGGAGGGCCGGCGATGACCTCAGCTGTTTGTCGGCCCATAAACCTTCCACTTTATATATATATTATACATGGGACAAAACTAATTATCCATTGAAACTGATTCTACAACAGAAACAAAATCGATGGTAAATAGAGAAAAAAAGTCCATATTTAAAGGCGGTATACAAACACTAATAGTCCATGGACAAATGGTATTTTCTAGTTGTAAGTTTGTTTGTTTATTGTTGTTATGCGAACATAGTGTTACAAGATTTAAAATGCTAGAGACAAAATCAATTGTCCATTAGCATTATAACGGATTGTATTTCAGCAATAAGATTGATGATAAATACAGAAAAAAAGTCCATATTTAAAGGCGGTATACAAACACTAATAGTCCATGGACAAATGGTATTTTCTAGTTGTAAGTTTGTTTGTTTATTGTTGTTATGCGAATATATTGTTACAAGATTTAAAATGCTAGACAAAACCAATTGTCCATTAGCATTATAACCGATTCCATAACAGTAACAAGGTGTAAAATACAGGAAAAAAGTCCACATTTACCAGTGGAATGCACGCACGCACGCATGCACACACATACAACTACTTAACAATAAATTGACAAGTGTTATATTTTTGTTTTTGGAAATTTGTTTGTTCGGTGCAAAGTACATTGTTGTGTTGTACGAACTGATTACCACGTGAGGAAAAGAAAATTTGAAAATTCATTGTGCAAACATATTGCCAGGAGATGGAAACAACGTAATTAAAATGGATGGAATTGAAAAACAAACTCCATTCCGCCTATTTAAATCTATTTTGGCCAAAACATAACACAGATGTAAAAACAAAAAATTGGTCAACAATTGTTTCAACTCCCGTAATCTGGACATTGAAGAGGAGCGGGCGTTAGCATGTACAAACACGATGGGATTCGTTAACAGTTGTCATCCACCAAAATAGAACGTACGTTCGACAAAAGAAAAATTTGCATTCGACACGGAAAACCGGAGATGAAAATAATCCTGGAGAATGGGAAGAGCGAGGGCGAGAGGGCCGTTGGAGTTTTTCGACAAAACAGTGAATTTAAACAGTCCACAAATATGTCGGAGCGTTGGGCGAAACGGCGTAGACGAGCGTTCGGCCTCCTCGAACCGCGTTATCCGTAGATAAACGGCGTCCTCCCGCATCCCAGTCGATGGTCAAAATTCAAATCTACGTCTACCTTTAGGGTGGGTTAATATCTAGACTTACATTGGGCGTTCTAAATTCTCATCCATTCAGCGATTGGCCAGCAAAATCATCACCAATGGGAAAATCGTAGAACGGACGAGGACTCTCGGTATTGGTTTCTGCATGACGGCCGGCAGTGTTGCCACGGGACGTGTTCCCGTTTTCCCAACGACGAACCGCTTCTCAGACGACCCAATGACTTTCTTACCTTTATCGTAGGGCGAACAAATTCTCCTCAACACGGAAAAATACCCTACTCCGTAGAATTTCATTTTTCTCACTTTAGACACTTTTACACAGATCCGTTTATATCAAACACAACTAAAAAACCATCTAAAAAACATTACTTTGGCTTAAAACAAAAATCCGACATGTGACTCTCACACTCGCTTTACGCCTCTTCAACATTTGTATCTGAATTGGAAACATGCTGTTCCAATGTTTTCTCCTCTGCCTTTTAAAGATTTTTTTTTTTAATGGATATACTATTACCAATAATATAAAAAACTTTAAAAAAATTATTAAAACAATATTTTTTTTAACTGATTAATACAATAAATGCAGTTATTTTAAATAAACACTATTCTTTAATTTTATATAACATCCAACTATACACTTGAAACAAGTAGTACACATGCACCACAAATATTTAAAAAAATCCAGGTAACACAAAATAAGGATTGTTACCGACTCATATTAAAATATTTCAAACTTGTTATTGCTCCTATTTTGACATCTCTTTTTTTATAAAACCCTATCTACAGTAATGTTTCCTTATATACTTAAAAATAGTTATAAAGTTCCGGTTTTTAAAAGTGGTAATAAAGGTAATTAAAGACCAATTTATTTATTTACCAATAAATTTATTTTTAAATTTTTTTTTTGACCAATTTATTTTTTTATTATTATTATTTTATTTTTTTTTACGAGGGTTCGCAACAGCAGAGGTCATATAAACCCTCAGGGTGCCGGTGTTTTTGAAAAAAGCCCATTTGTAAGTATGTCGGGTTCGAATACAGGGCCGCTGGATTCGAACCCGGGACCTTTACCTTACAGTGATGAACACCGTGTCAAAGACTAAACCTTGCGGCCACCGACGCCCTTCAAAAGTAATTCCTTAAACCCAATATTTTAAGACGTTATTATTCCAAATCAACGTGGTTTTCATTCGCAAAGGTAGATTAAGCAATTTACCAATATTTCAAGATTATGTATTTCAATATTTTTCTGAACGACTCCTAGTTGATTGTACTTACACTGACTTTTCCAAAGCTTTTGATAGTGTTGATCATACTACAGAAATTACAAAAATTAGGTATACATGGTAACTTATTACATTGGTTTACATCGTATTTAGAAGGCCGAATGGTGAATGTTAAATTAAAATCAGTATTGTCGCATAGTTTTCTAGCGACTTCTGGATGTCCTCAAGGGTCACAATTAGGAACTTTTATTTTTAAAATCTATATAAACAATATATCTGATTCTCTTTCATCTGTTATGATCCTACTTTTCACAGATGATTTAAAAATATTACTAAAAATTAATTCTGTATCTGATTGCTTACAACTTCAACATTCCTTAATAAAACTTAATAATTATTGTTCAACTAATAATATTCTTTTAAATTCTGGCAAATGTTCAGTTATGACATTTCATAAAATAAAATATCTTATCAAATTTAATTATTGATACACTATATCAAACTTGCTCCTAATTAGGCATGAAATAGTTAAAGATCTTGGCATCATTACTGACAGTTAGATAAACTTTCACACCCACACTAATAAAACTAATGCTAAAGCAAATAAAACTTTCGGATCTATTACTCATCATACTAAACATTTCCAAGATCCAGATGCACTTAAAATTTTATATACTTCTACTGTAAGGCCAATAATAGAATACAGTTCACCTGTTTTGGCTCCCTTTCAATCAACCCATATCAGTTGCATAGAAGCAGTTCAAAAAGATTTTTACGCCTGATAAATTACAAAACTGGAGTGTACAGAGATACACCATGCTCATTTCCAATGTCGGTACAGAAGGAAATTCTTTGTGTGCATACAATTATAGAAATTATTACATTCCTTAACTGATCGCCCATTACTGCTTAACCGAATTAAATTTTATGTTCCATCTTATTATTCCAGAAGTCATATAACATTCTACATTAATCGCCATAGAACTAATTATGCCAAATTCAAAACAACAGTTAAACTTGTTCAAAAAAATAGATATATGTAATGTGTGGTGATTAGTGACCATTAATCGATATTTATTTAGAAATCGTGAGATGCAGTCTGGTGTGATGTAGGTTTCAGAAAAACATTTTCTTTATCGTGCCAATGTTTCAATCTTTATTGAGATCAT